CGAAAAGTGTATTATTGCAGTATACTCCCACAACATAAAAACCAGATAGGAATAATGATAGTCTGTACTGTCGAAGTGGTAGTTAAGGTGATTGAAGAAAGAGTACATAACCGTGGAAAAACGAAGCATCTAACCCAGACATCTGTCTGCACGTAGTACGGAAGACGAGACCCTGAAGTAAATTGGTAGTACCAGCAAATACACCCACTGGTACCCGACGGAGCTGGGCGTACCTCGCCCACCGCAAAGTACCCCTCGGGTACTCCCCAGGTACCCGGCCGTTCTGCACTCTACAGAACGGCACCGATGATCTGCCAACACTGACGGCAGTGGCGGCCTCCGGACATGGGTGTGATGCCCCGGAAGATTGACGTGGTTGATTATCAATCCCCCTTCGATCAGATTCTTATTTCGCATGTCAACACCGCCACCGCTCCGTGGCCCGACACCCGGTCACGCAGAAGATTGGTGTGTGTCCCTCAGTAGGTACCGACCGATACAACAGGACAAAATAAAGCGATCGTCACTCGAGCAGACCCACGCAGAGGTTCGCTTGTTTCCGAGCTTTGGGGTCGAGGAAAGACTCGCTATTATTGTGAAAGTGGTTCCTAATTTATCGGACTCTTTTGCCAAGGGGGTGGAATTGGCGAAGTTTGCCCCAAATAATATTCTTATACCCCCCACAATATGTCATGGTATCGGATTTAGAGTCCGAAGCTTGGATCTCTAAAGCTCGAGCCATCCGATTTCAACCTGATCGAAAGCACGGCAGATCTCCCCAATGTATTGCTTTTCTCTTTTTCGTTTTCTGCTCTCACAACATCCAGGCAAATTACTTGAATGCGAAATAATATCACAAATGGATGCTATTGCGATAAAGCCCTTCCTTTTTTCTATCTGCCGAAACACCGTGAAAATAAAGTAGTCCCAAAGGCGCAAACCTCGCGATGCCATTGGATGAGTTCTGCATGTCGATTGGTAACTAGTAGACTTCACCCTGTCCATTCAACCCGGCTCGCGCAGGAGCTCCGGCTAAGCAAAAGTACCTCGGTAGCGCGGTACAGTCGTCAAGTAATCTATCACCGCCAATCCTCTTCGCCATCCAATGCACAGTGACATGATCAGCCTCTTCGAGCCCGGAGATACTCAGAATGGCTATGCCGAAGAATTTGCATTTGAGGACTGAACATAAGTCGGTCACTACTGTCACTTCCTAAATAATTTTCCATAAATGTGTCCGCATCTGGACAGTACCTACTAACTAGTATACCACGCTATACGCTCCGAACACTTAATTAACAACCACTAAGTTCGGTGTAGAAGTCGCCTTCTTTCTTTCGTCTAATCCCGCTAGACAAGAGGAACTGCATGTGTAATAATGGACATGACAACAACAATAATATTTGACATAGTATTCGATCACACATAATAATGACACTCAAGTCAGGGGTCACCGCCTTGATACTGCCCCTCTCTACGCTTATCGCGACGCGCTTTGATTTTCTTGTCAAAACACCCACCCATCTACATCCCCATCATTAATTGATTGCTCTGCCCGCCATGGAGCAACAGCTCCTTTCACTGCTGGCAGACACCCAGTCGCCTGCGACTGACACTAGGAAATCTGCTGAGCAGCAGTTGGCCCAGCTCTATACCAACGAGTCCTTCCCCGTCTCCCTGACAGCCATTGCCTCCCATGACTCGGTCCCCGTCAATCTGCGCCAATCCGCCCTTTCCGTGCTGCGCACCTTTATTGCTGCCGCCTGGTCCCCCGCGCTCGATGAGTTCAAGGGCCAGGTCCTCGTGAACGACACGAATAAGGCGCACATTCGCCGTGCTTTGCTCGAGCTCGCTACGACCACCGAAACATCTGAGCGCAAAGTCAAGTCCTCGGCCAGCTACGCCGTCAGCAAGATCGCCAGTGCCGACTTCCCCGACGACTGGCAGGATCTCCTCCCCACGCTCCTGCACATTATCAACGATACCGCCACCACAGATGGCGCGTTACACGGTGCCCTGAAAGTTCTTTTGGACCTTGTGGATACAGGATTCAGTGAGGAGCAGTTCTTTAATGTTGCCCGCGAGCTGGTCTCGGCGCTCTTTGCCGTGGCCACTGCAGAACCTCGACGGCCGATCCTGCGCGCTCTCGCCGTGGCAGTTTTCCGGTCCTGCTTTGATACACTGGAGATGGTTCTCGAGCAGCACAAAGTTGCAATCAAACAGTTTATGGACGAGGTTTTGGGTGGCTGGTCACCATTCTTCGTGTCAACTTTGAAGGCTCCCCTGCCCCAGGTCCCGAGCGAGGACGAAGCAAACAAAGATGTGGACATTGCATCGCAATGGAGAGGAACCATTGGCCTGAAGACCCAGATTGTCAAAGTATGGTAGTTCATACGTACGGTGTACTGCGTCCAACGCTAACCTTCTATCTAGACTCTTATGAAAATTCGCATGGTCTTCCCTGCTCTCCTAACTGCGCAGAGTCCGCTATACTTTTCTACCGTCTGGACGGAGCTTACGACTGTGCTTCCCATTTATCAGAATTTCTATATCGAGGCTGACCGGCAAGGTCGGCTGGAGGATGTGGATGGACTGCCCCACTCCCTGGACTTCCTTGTCCTGGAAGAGCTGGACCTGATCCAGACACTGCTGAGAGCACCTCCAGTGAAGGCAGAGCTGAACCAACAGCTCCAAAATGCCGGTTCAAACAGCTGGCTACCAGAAATTATGAAGCTCTCCAGCTCTTACGCACAAATCACCATGGAAGAGGAGGGCTTGTGGGAGATTGACGTGAGCCTATTCCTGTCTGAAGAGACTTCGGTCACTGCGAACTATACACCTCGGACCGTCAGTGGAGACCTGGCCATCAAAACAGGTGAATGGCTGAAGAGTACCGCAGCTGAAGGGCTGCTTAGCTATATGAACACTCTCTTTGGTGATTCCACTACCTCGTAAGTTTTGACTCTTAAATGCTACAGGGCTCGGCTAATCCGCATTGAATAGGTGGAAATCTCGTGAAGCAGCCCTTTATATTCTCAACTCCATTCTCCGGGACTTCAGCGAGGTGAACCAGACAATCTCCCTGGAGCTGGCCAATCATTTTGCCCAGTTTGTGCACTATGCGACTCAACAAGAGCAAGAGCTCCTGCGCGCACGGGGCTACCTTGTGGCCGGCGTCTTGGCCCGTGTCACGGGGGAGAGTTTCCAGCAAACTGCATCTGCCTACCTGGAGGCTACGTTGAGAGCGATTGCAGAAGACCCCTCAGAGGTGGTCAAGGTGGCTGGTATTCGGGTCTTGCAAGACCTCGTCCCCTCTTTGCCCGCCAGCGCTGCTGCTCCCTTCCAGGCACCTGTGATCTCGGCCATCTCGGAGTTTGCTTCTACGCAAGATATGAGCGATCCCAGCGACTCGGGTGATCTGGCCGTCACGCTGGCCGAGGCACTCCGGGACACCATCATGGTAGAGCCAAGCGTGGTTCTGACTTCGGGTGCCATGGACGGGCTGTTCAAGATTGCCAGCGGGAGATCCGACAATTTCCAGCTAACTATGACCGTCACCGAAGCATTCGAGGATATTGCAGAGCACATTGCCAATCTCGGTCCAGAAGCGTACCAGCGTCTCTGCGAGAAGGTGCTGCCTTCCCTGATGGGTGCCATTGATGTCGGCAATATGACCGAGGAGAATACCCTCACAGTATTTGCGGCTGATCTGCTCCGAGCTCTGACGGAGAGAAGTCTGGAGCCGATGCCCGCTGGCTTTGTGGAGACGGTGATGCCCAAGTTGAACCGCCTGTTGCTGGCCTCTACCGAGGCGGAACTGATCCGGCCGGCCACAGAAGCGGTCCGACATATGCTGGCGCATGATTTCGCGCAATTCGTGAACTGGCGGGATCCGCAGTCCGGCAAAGAGGCGATTGAGGTCGTGCTTATCATCATCGACCGCCTGCTGGGCCCCGCGGTGGACGACAATGCAGCCACGGAGGTGGGCCAATTGGCGGCCGAGCTGGTCGAGCGCGCTGGCTCCGAGCGCCTGGGCCCTTACCTGCCGCAGCTTCTTCAGGCCGTCGCACAACGGCTAGCAACCGCGCAGCAAGCACAGTTCATCCAGAGTCTGATCCTGGTGTTTGCACGACTCACGCTCATCAGCGCCCGCGAGGTGGTCGACTTCCTGGCGCAGGTGGACCTGAGCGGTCAGAACGGTCTGGTGGTCGTTCTGAGCAAGTGGCTAGAGAACTCGGTCAACTTTGCTGGCTACGACGAGATCAAGCAGAACATCTTTGCGCTGGCCCGGCTGTACGAGCTGGCGGACCCGCGACTGTCGGAGGTGCCCGTCAAGGGCGACCTCATCATCCAGGACACGGGCCGTATCAAGACGCGGTCCCAGGCGCGCAACAACCCGGACCAGTTCACGACCGTGCCCGCACCATTGAAGATCATCAAGGTGCTCGTCGAAGAGCTGTCAGCTGCGTCAGGAAATAAGGAGATCGACGCCGCAGCGGCTGCCGCGCTCGATGACGCGGGCAGCGACGACGGCGACGACGATTGGGAGGATGTCCCCGGCCAGATCTTGGATCTAGGACTGGGTGTGACGAAGCAGGAGCTCATGAGCTTTGGCGAGGGCGGGTCGGAGGGAGTGTTTGGTGTGCGACGCCGTGACGACGAGACGCAGGGTTTCCTGGTGGACTTCTTCCATCGGGCATCTGCCCAGCCGGGATTCCAAGAGCTGTATGGGGCGTTGACGCCGGACGAGCAGGGGAAATTACAGGGGTTGGGATAAATAGGTGGTGGATCGTATTTAGCCGCAGTAGAATGGACTGGACGACCTGCTACTACTCCTTACTAGTCTATACCTAACCAGACTAGCGCGCCCCCAGGGTTGTGCTTCGTCTTCCCCCGCAGCCAATCTCCCGCGTCCCAACCTCTCGGTTCTGCGCATCCTCTGTCTCGGGATTTTGGTCCTGCATCAATAATTTTGGGTTCATCATCACCATCATATCATCATGTCCCAGCCGAACCCCTACGAAAGTATTCAGGTCGATGTAAGTCTCTCTCTTCCTCTTTTCTTTCCTTTTCCCCAGCCATCCCTCCGATTCAGCGACTCTTCTTCCCCGCCCCCGCCACGTACCTATGCGTAAGATCGTAATCCTAACCCATCCCAGACGAGCGACGATGACTTTGACATCCAGTCTCTCACGGGGTCCGACCTGTCCTTCGCCTCCTCGGTGCGGGACTACTGCTACGAGAACGGCCGGCGCTACCATGCTTACAGGCCCGGGGCGTACCCCATTCCCAACGATGAAGAAGAGCAAGATCGCCTCGCCCTAGCGCACCACTTATTCAAGCTTATCACCGGCGGGGATCTGTACCGTGCCCCACTGCTTCGCGACGGTGACTCGCCGCTGCGCGTGCTGGACATCGGCACGGGCACGGGCCAATGGGCCATCGACATGGCGGAGGATTTCCCCGACGCCCAGATCTTCGGCACGGACTTGTCGCCCATCCAGCCGAACTGGGCGCCGCCGAACTGTCGGTTTTTTATTGACGATGCCGAGAGCGATTGGGCCTTCGCTCCCAACGAGGCCTTTGACTATATCCATTGCCGCAGTCTGGCGGGCGGGATTAGTGATTGGCCACGACTGCTGCGTCAGGCCTACACGCATCTGAAGCCCGGCGGGTGGTTCGAGGCTCAGGAGTTTAACGCGTGGGTTACGTCGGACGATGGCACGCACTTGAAAGCGCCTCTGACGATGAAGTGGCTGGAGCGCCTGAACGAGGCCAGTAAGCAATTTGAAAAGCCCATGAACGTCGCTCCGTCTCTGGAGCAGTGGGTTCATGAGGCCGGCTATGTCAATGTGGCCGATGACATGTACAAGGTAAATCTCCCCCCAATACTTCCTCTTCGGGAGTTGCATGTGGCTGACTGACTGTGATCAGTGCCCCGTTGGCGGCTGGGCGAAAAACCGCCGTCTCAAAGAAATGGGCCGAATCGGCAAAGCCGCGCTTCTCGAAGTGATCGAGCCGTACACATTGGCTCTATTCACGCGAGTGCTGGGCGATTCTTTTCCAGAAGCGCATGATTACATGAATAAAGTGCGCGCGGAGCTGATGGGCGGCGGCTCTCTTCACCTCTACGTGCTGTTCCACTATGTCTACGGACAGAAGCCACTGACTGAGGGCCAGACTGTGGCCCCATGATTGGGTTTCTCTCACGATTGACGACTATGAGATATCAACACCCACGCACACACACGCATATACAGCACATCTTTTCAGCGATTATGGATTTTTTAACGATTTCGACATTCCTCTTCGGTTTCATATATTAGGACTTCCTATGTACCAGGTATATTTCTCTTATGGACAAAGACTCCAGTGTGGTTCGTGAGAATGGAGGGTGAGAGAGTGCACCATTAAAACCTGGGGAGGCGGATCATGATTGTCCAGGTCTCCCGATTCCCAGGACCTGACAGATGCCGGACACGGCGTCCTCGGGCGTGGGACTCGCGCGCACGACGTGGACAACCTGCGCCACGAGCTGTTCGTCACAGCTCCCGATCGTGTCCAGCAGGGTCTCGAGGAGTTCTTGATTGTTCCGGCCTTTCCAGGAGCTTGGGGTTTGGTGTGGGGTATTCAAGGTCGGCGCGAGATTGTATAGGTGGCTATGGAGGGCGGGTGGGATGGATAGTAATTCGGGATTGGCGTGGAAAGTAGATGGAGGATTGTGATTAGGGTATGCATGAGGTAATGATGTATTACTGTGGTACCAGGATGATGAGTCTTCGTTGTAGGCTTGTTCTCCTTTGTAGGCTTGCGGATTATAGTCTGCATTATCGATCCCATATGCATGGCTTGTCGGTGCTGGGGGCATATGGGGCATGGACATGGACATGGACATGGCCATGGACGTCTCTGACAGTCCCGGCATGCCTCCGGTATAGCTGCTGAGTATTGTCGGTGTCGGTGTGTCCATCGAATCTGCAATGGTCAATATGAATTTTCTGGTCCGAGATCAAAATACTCACAAGAATACGCCGACGCCTCGGCCATCGTCACCGAAGCATCCAGCTCAGCGACATACGGATGCGTCGGGACCGAATAATAATGTTGTGGAAACCCCGTCACGCCGCCGTCACTGCCCGTGCTGTCGGGACTAGCCACGGTTCGGGAGTTGGTCATGGTCGATGGGGACGACGGTGAAGAACCGGGCCGACTGCTGCCCTCGGCCCCCTCCCCGCCAGCGTGTGAATGTGAATAATGGGCATATCCCGACTCTCCGCACGAGTATTTTTGGCCGGAGCTACGACTTCCCTCACTGGGTTCGCGCGCGGGCTGGTTGTGTCGGCTGCGCAGCTCCTCGACCTCGCGCCGCAGTCGCTCGATGGTCTCGGCCATATTGATATGCACGCGGTCCTCGGCGGTGGTGAGATAACTGCACTCGGCCTCGAGGCCGCGGGCCAGACATGCGCGACATGGGATGTGGCGGTCACACGGTTGAAAACATCAGCACGATCAGGGGATTGGGTCCACGGTCGCTCACCTTCACCTTGCGTTCGCGGCATTTCAGACACGACTGTTGGGGCCGAGACTTTGTCTTGGAGTCGGCGGGCATGGAGACATCCAGATCTCTGTCGGTGATGTGGTTGGTCTACTGCCTTGGAAGCCGATGGCATGGGGTGGGGGTTTTCTTCCTTCTCCACACCAGCTTACAGTGTGATTGATCTCACGGAGTACACAGTCCGACGTCATCAGCCTTTCCATCCTGGCCCGCTCCACCAGGCAAGTCCTTCGCAGATCCGGCGGACTGCGAATCTTTCCGACCTGCCCTGAGCGCGCTTGTCTCAGGGGTCCGTTATTAATTAAGCTCTCTGCTTGTTTGGCGAGATACCACCGTCGCACCCATGTTCGATAACTTCCCCGACGTGGGATTCGCTCGCCGATCTCCTGGACCCCTGGAGCGGGGGAAGAGACCAGCCTCAAGATGGCATATAAGCACTGCGATCGATGTGCAACGTTGTTGTTGCTCGACCAATCTCCATTCTTCTCGACTGTGAATTAGTCTACTTCCATTGCCACTCACGCAAAACAAGCAATCATGAGGACACCATCGTGGGCTGTTGGTCCGGCAAGCATAGCCGGACTACTGATGATCCCCTTGCTTCCTGTCCATGCATCCGTGGAGGATCCACGCGTGCTCCCGGCGCCCCCCATGGGGTTCAACAATTGGGCACGTTTCGAATGCGATCTAAACCAGACGCTGTTCACCGAGACCGCCGAGGCAATGGCGAAGCGCGGTCTACGCGATGCAGGCTACGACCGCCTCAACCTCGACGACTGCTGGCTGCAGCACTCGCGGTCCGCCAACGGCTCGCTGCAATGGAACGCAACCTTGTTCCCGCAGGGCATCCCTTGGCTAGCCCGCTTTGTCCACACCCGCGGCTTCCACCTGGGCATCTATGAAGACTCGGGCAACCAGACCTGCGGCGGCTACCCGGGCTCCTACGGACATGAGCAGCAAGATGCCGAGACCTTCGCCAGCTGGGGGATTGACTATCTCAAGCTCGACGGCTGCAATGTCTACCCCGAACAGGGCCGCACCATCAGCCAGGAGTACTACCGCCGGTACCACCAGTGGCATGAGATCCTAAGCGCCATGGCGCATCCGCTGATCTTCTCCGAGTCGGCGCCGGCGTACTTCCTGGGCAACGATACGGCCTGGTCGGGCGTCATGGATTGGATTCCATTCAATGGAGAGCTGGCGCGGCACTCGGATGATATCCTCGTGTACAGTGGCGCAGGCAGCCCCTGGGACAGCATCATGTCCAACTACCACTACCAGACCCTGCTTGTGCGCTACCAGCAGCCGGGCTACTACAATGACCCGGACTTTTTGATTCCGGACCATCCCCGCCTGTCAGCCGATGAGAAGCGCTCGCAGTTCGCCCTCTGGGCCTCGTTTGGCGCTCCGCTCATCATCAGCGCTTACATTCCTGGCTTGTCGGACGATGAAATCAAGTTCCTCAGCAACAAGGACCTGATCGCCGTGGACCAGGACCCGCTGGCCCAGCAGGCCGCCTTGGTCAGCCGCGACGCCGACTTCGACGTGCTAACCCGCACACTGGCCAACGGTGACCGCGTGGTGACCGTGCTGAACCGCGGCAACAACACCGCGGAGACCACCGTCTCCCTGGATCGGATGGGCCTGGTGTCTGGCTGCGGGTTCAACGCGAAGAATCTTATCTCTGGCGAAGAAGCCTTGGTCAACAAGGCCCTCCACGTCCGACTGGCCAGCCACGCCACCAGCGTGCATCGCTTGACGCCTCCCCGGAACTGTGGCACCGTCACCCCGACCGGCATGGTATTCGGCACCAATTCGGGCCACTGCCTGACTGCCTCTGGTTCCTCGGTCACGTTTGAGACCTGCAAGGCGGCCGATTCCCAGGTCTGGAGCATTAATGACAAGGGCAGCAAGTTGGCCCTGAGCCCCCTGTCGGATCCGTCGTTGTGTCTCGCTGCCTCCGGCAATGGAAATAGCGTCTCCCTTGCCAAATGCCGTGGCAGTGACGAGAAGTGGTCGCACTTTATCACCGGCCATCTCCAGAATGACCAGGCTGGCGGCTGCTTGACGGAGTCGGCTTCTGGCGCTGCCCGACTTGGTTCGTGCTCGTTAGGACAGGCGGGACAGATCTTGGGACTACCGAGTGGTGTCAAGCTGGCATCCATGCAGAAATAAGTGGTTGTATAGTTAAGAGGAGTACATAGTAGAGTATGTAGAAGAATAGAAACCGGGGCGATCAAGGGTTGTCAACAGTTGTTTGTACAGTCATTTAGCCATTCAGACAAGAATCTCATATACACAATTTGTGAACTAAACAGAAGAAGAAGAATGGAAATCATCCCTGCAACGAAAACCCAACACCCTCACCCGTCCCCATAGCCACCAGATTGGCCCTCATCTTCTCCGGCCTCTCCCCAATGCCAAACGCCGCATCATCCCGATGCACCCAGGCACCAACCCCATGCTGCAACACGGCCGTAGCACGCACCTTCTTCTTCGCCTCCGCATCAGCATCCGCACCATCAACCGCCTTCAACCCCAAACTCCCATGCAGCGTCAGCCGAGTCTCATCCCCATTCTCCGGCTTCGCGCGATACACGCCGCGGTGCAGGATATTGCTATCATAAAACACCGCATCACCGGGCTGCAGCTCGACTACCAGCTGACCCGGCATCGAGGGCTCATACGGCGCCGCGCTGCGCTCGGCATCCGTGCGCGCACGCCTATGCGAGCCCGGAACCACTATCAGCGAGGCATCGGGACACAGCGCGAGGTTATACTGCGCATGCGACTGTCTCCCACCGGGGCTCTTCGCAGCGAGCAATTTCAGCTCTTCCTCCGCAGACGCCGTCTCGGGGATATCGTCGCGATGCCAGCGGAGCTCGAAGTCCTTCGTCTCCGGCGCCACAAGCAGATTGAACAGCTCCATGACGAGAGCCTCGTCGTCTTGATCCGGGGACACGCCCATCAGCTCCTCAGCGACGGCTAGGATGGACGGCGAAAAGTAGCACCGCGCGAACTGGTCCCGGCCTGCCATCTCGGGATGCAGTAGGTGCTGCACGCCCCAGATGCCGCCCTCGGAGGCTGGGGGCGGCGTCGACGGCCATGGTGGGAACTGCTTAGGCACTGTTCGGAAGTGCGGCCAGCCGCCTGTGCGAGTGCGTGTTGTGGCGGCGGTTGCGATGGCGCGGTATTGGGATACTTCGGTTGGGGTGAGTAGGTTGCGCACGACGACGAAGCCGTCGCGCTTGAGAGCGTCGAGGTGAGGGGTGGCCATGATCGTCAAGGGGAGTCTGGAGTCTGGAGATGGAGTATGGAGTAGGGAATATGGTTCCAACAATTAGGGTTAGTTATATACACCTCCATCAGCACCTCTACAGTCATGGATACTACGCTCGCCAATGCGACCCTCGGATCGCAGTGGATCATCGGATGCGACGTTTGTTTATCGCCAAGCCACACTCAGCCTTCCCCACTACATACTCGATTTCATCGTCCCTGAACATTATTTACCCTATTATCCTAATTCTTTACGACACCACGACCATGGCCCTCTCACGGGCACCCTTGCTCCTATGCTTCCTCCTCCTGTTGCCCCACGTCCACGCTTTCGGGGCCGGCAGTACGTCATTTGTCTTGCTTGCTTGTTTGCTGCTGTTGACACCCCTCTAGACATCGCTTCCATCTCGGCCATCGAGGGCCAGAACTGGCGCCATGGCGATATCGAGGATTTACTCAAGACCGTCGCCTGTATCTCGGGCCATAAATGGACCTCTACCATGATCAAGCGGGTTTACTTTGGGAACTGGCTGCGTGATTAGTGAGTGCGACCACTGTTTGGGAGAGTGTGAGAATACATGGAAGCTAACACGATGTGACTAGCTCCCAGGCCATGGATACCGGTACCCTCAAATCTCTCCAGGCGGATACCATCCGCATCCTGGTCTGGATCCTCTCTTTCCTCACCTTTGGCTATGCGACGGCCGAGTTTGAGGTCACGTCGGACCGACTGGGTGTCTATCGGCCCGAGGAGCATATTGAGTGCGTTTCCCTCCTCTCCTTCAACCCCGAGTGTGCATCTATTAACGCTTCTCGCAGTAATCCCAAAGACTACGCCGACAACCAAGATGCCCGCCAGTTCGACAAGCGGCTACGCGGCCCCGTCCGGCCTGTCGAGCTCGAAATCGACCCCGACACAGGCATGAAGAACTACATTGCCAACGAGCGCGGCGACTGGGCCACCAGTACTGCCTACGTCAAATACAGCCTAGGCCGCAGCATCCATTTCGGACGCATGTACATGCACGGCGGGGAGCGCAAGGGCAGAGAGGAGGATCTATGTGAGGCGCTGCGGTGTTTAGGCCAGGAACTGCACACGCTGGAGGATTTTGCCGCACATACCAACTACTGCGAGCTGGTTCTGCGCGAGATGGGCTTTCTGAATGTGTTTCCGCACACGGGCACGGCGACGCAGTGCAATATCCGGGGACACCACGTCTTCCCACTTGTGACGGGGACTTTTGGGATGGTTGATTTCTTTCACTCCGTGCTTGGCGAGGCGACTGATCACTTTACTCAGTCGGAGGTCAACGAGATGGATATTGCGCTTGGGGATGCCCAATCGAGTTCGCAGTCGAATAGCTCGCTCAATGCCCTTACTGGGTTGCTGGGCAAGATCCCCGGTACGAAGGATCTGGTAAGCGAGGCTGAGCGGCTCAAGCGGCAGTCCGAGGCTCAGGAGTCTGCCAACCGACACCGGGGCTCGATGGCTGGCTATTCTCAGGGTCCCGGCTCTCGCTGTGTGGAGGATCATGGAATGAGCGAGCAGACCCGTGCCCCTGGCCCTGGTGGCAGTACAGCGCCAGCACCAGGCCCGGGTCCAGGTCCGGGTCTCCAGGGTATGCCAGACATCAACCCACAAGAGACCATCAAGAAGATCTACCCCATTCTCGAATTCCGGGACAAGGTAGTCCGAAAACTCAACTCCATCATCGAGAAGATTCCGGGACTGGAAGCTCTCGTGGAGAAGATCTCCGAGACACTCACCGTATTCATCATGTCGTTGCTAGCGCCATTTATCCGCCCACTGATCAACGCAGCCTCCAAATCCCTACAGACAGGCTCGTCGGGCGTCATTGACGCCTCAGGAAAGCACCAGTTCGAGCCCTGGACAGACCCGCGCTGCACCGACCCAACGCACTCGATGCTCTCAAAGGACCACTTCGCAAACGTGCTCAATGAGCCGGCGGGTCATGTCGCCGGCGCTATCGTACGCTACGTCGCGCCCCGCGTCCTGTACGCATGGGAACATATCGATGTGCCCGACCACGAGGTTCTGAATGACTGCATGAACGTCTTCCACCACCCGGCTCTGCGTGATATGCGCAACGATGCCCACAGGACTATGTTCGAGGCTGTCCAGTCCTGGGTGAATACCCACCCAGACCGCAGCGCCAAGCTGAATGATATCCTCAGTGCCGATGGCGTCAGGGCAGGTCGTAACACCGGCGGTGTTCCTCACACCCACGGCGGTGGTGGTGGAGGGTTTGCCGCGTTGGGAGGCGGTGCTGCCCACGCCCACGGCGCCTCTGGTTCCCATGGCTCGTCTTTCCTCCCGCAGCTACATCAGCAGCCACAGGGACAACACGGTTCCTCGGGTGGTAGTGGTATTCCGTGGGATAAACTATCTAGTCTACCCATTCCCGGCCTATCATCCTCGGGACAACACCAGTCCCAGGGCCAGCACAGTTCCTCTGGCGGTCTTCCCTGGGAACAACTATCCCATCTTCCTATCCCTGGCCTGTCGTCCTCTGGACAGCATGGCCAGCATGGCCAGCATGGCCAACATGGTTCCACCGGCGGACTTCCGTGGGATAAGCTGTCTGGCCTGCCGATTCCTGGGATGTCGGAGTTAAATAAGCTGAATAAGATCTCGAACTTCGTTCCGGGAGGATTGGGGCATGGTTTTTCGAGGGAGGTTGAGGGTGAGAATGAGACTGGGACTGGAGCTGGAGGGGCGCCGTATCAGCAGCAGCGGGCTGAGCATGAGCAGCCTCAGTATCAGCATCAGTCCCATGCTGAATACCAGCCCCAGTACCAGACTCATCAGCATTACGAGGGTCATCCGCACCCAGGATACGGACGAGACGGTTATTAAATTGATGCATCTACCACGCTTGACACACGATACACGAACACTAGATCTTGAGCGTCATGTCCCTGCTCCCGCATCTCAACATGATTGATAAATAAAAACACATTACGAAGTTGACAAAATAGACATGTAGCAATCCATAATTAAAATCAGGGTCTCCTCTGTTATCCACACACACCTCATCCGTCGTGAACACCCACCATATTGACTCCAAATTCCCCATTCTTTGTGGCTTCCTGTACTCCCAGCTGGCTCCCCCAGATGAATCCAAGTCCTTGATTTCTCTGCAAGCCCTGCCGGGCTAGCTCAATCGGTAGAGCGTGAGACTCTTAATCTCAAGGCTGCGGGTTCGACCCCCGCGTTCGGCTATTCCTAAGAACATCTTGAGACCTTTTTTTTGGTCTTTTATCTTTTTGCACTCTTATTCTTTAAATTTATTCGTTCGTCGTGGTAAGATATAATCAATGGTGACTTATTTCTGAGTGAAGATCTGAAGCTTTACTGGGCGTGATAGGATTTTCGACCCGTTTGAGATGGGAGGGTATTTTTGCGAATATAGCCAAATATATATCAGGAACACTACACGATGTAAGATAACTCTAGAATAATTAAATTCAGCACCATCATTACGCCTAATCTCTTAACTACTTAGCAGTCTCCAGTCTCTAGCGACCGACTCAAGTATGAAATACACCGTAATCTGACATAACCGTCTATTCCACCACAGACAAGCCCGAATAAACATGATGCAGTGGGTGATGACAAGGAACACTCCCGAGACTCCCTCTCCAGACTTATCCAGATAAATGCAACGCTCAAAACAATCGCTCCAAGCCTAAAGCTTGGTTCCCTCGCGACCACTATCACTCGGCCGTCTGGGCCGCAGCGGCCCCAGAGATGGACCAGCGGTACCGCTCGGACCCGGTGCCGAGGAGGCCGCCAGCTGAGACCGGTTTGTGTCATTACCGCCGGCGCCGGCGGTGTTGGCGCGCACCCCGGCGCGCGGGCCTTGGTGCAATCGTGGATTCATCAGCCACTGCACCTGCATGCGAACACTATTCACAGCGGCGTTGGTGTGGGCCATGTCTTCTTTGATTCGCAGGGACTCGTTCATGATGGTCATGCTGGCGCGAGCATCGAGGTCTGTGATGGCATGTGATAGCTGAGCAACTTCCTCGCGCAGGGACTCATGCAGAGAAAGCAAGTATGTTGTGGCGTTGGAGGAAAATACGCTGGACGCGCGATCCGCAGACTCATCCATGTTCTCCGTCTGCTGGTCGTCTCCACCGCTAGCGCCGCTCACACCGGCACGCGCAGAGTCAACCAGCGTCGATCGGATGTTGGCCAGTCCGTCCTCGAAGATCTCATTTCGTTGCTGGAGGTGTCGGATGGTCAGCTCGAGGGAGTCCAGCCGGGTGTTTTGGGCCTCAAAATATGGGCCCATTGCGATCAGCGGACAGAGCTGTTCGTGCCCCCCAATCTCGGCTCGTCGAATTTTGACGGGACATCCATATTTGGATGCTGCACAGGGGCTGACCACCTCCAGGCATGTCTCGATATGTTTCTTCAACTCTCGCCGAACGATCGTTGTACCGCAATCCACGCATGTAGTCTCGAGACTGGGACAAAGCTCCTTGTCATGCTCCTCATAATCCTGCTCCATGACGTCCTCCTCACAGCGCGGACACTGCTGAAGTGCATGCATACACTTTTGATCCGGGTGGAGGTCCTTCTGGCGGGTCATTTTGTCGCAAGCGGTGTCCGGGCATGGCACCAGTCGGTATGCACAGTATTTGTCCACATGCGACTGAACATGGCCGCGGGGCAGGATCTCTTGGCATCCCTCCGATATAAACGGACATCGCACTCGGATATCGTCGCACATGTTTATCAAAAGGCGGGGCACGCTCGTCGATATCTCGTTGGTGGGCGTTCGGCAGGAGGGGCACGGGAACTCGTCCGAGTCGGTCGAGCGGAAGCTGGTGATGGCGGACCGGAGGCATTTGCGACAGAAGACGTGATCGCATTGCAATCGTACCGGCTGGACGTACGCGCAATGACAGATCGGGCACATGAGGTGGGAATCGTAGTTGGAGACGCAGTCCAGGGAGCGGAGGTCGACCAGCCCCTCCCGGTCGCAGTCGGCCTCCGCGGAGAGGAACTCGTGGATATTCATGGCGCGGTATTGTGACAAGAGAGACTGAATGTGCAACGCGTGCGCGACTTATGGTTTGCGACAGCGATTCTCTGAGGGGGCAAGGTCCGCAGTTTGCAGGACGGATGGCGAAGGGATTCTAAATACCGAGGTAGATGACGCACAGACAGCGAGAACCCATGAGGGTGGCAGGCCAAAGGGCAACAACCATCCAAGTGAGGTATAGAATAAGGAACGACAGTAGTATTGAAAGAGGTGTGTCTGAAGGGAAAGGGGGAGTGAGAAGAGAAGAAGAAGTCGGAAGGGAGAGAGAGTGTTCGTTAGTTAGTTACCAAGGTAGGATTACTACATGCTGCGGGGAGGGAGAGCCAAGGCGGAAAGCAGTAGGGCTGCTTACTTACCTACATTGCTGCTGCCTTTCCATCACTTCTCCATCTTCCCCCAACTCGCTGCCCTGGGGGTCTATCTCCTTGAACCCTGCATCTGACAAGCACATTTTCATTGCTGATTTCACCATGGCGAATCCATCCCAACTCTTCCTCGTCGTCGACCACATCAAGCTGTCGCTCCTGGAGCGGCAGCGGGCCATCAGCCTCGACCTCGAGCCCAATGCCCAAGACGGCGAGATCTCACGGGCCCTCGAGTCTCTCCGCGAAGGCATCGAATCCATTGAAGCCGAGCAAGCGCGGCTGGCCGACTCCCACGACAGCGCAGGCGCTGCCGCCCTGAAAGACCAGCTTGGCCCCCTCCGCGCCCAATACCACGACCTGTCATCTCAGTTCCACGGCCCAGACAGCACATCAGCCACCAGCCCGACGCCAGGTTCCGCCGGCGGCAACCAGATCGCCTCCGCCAAATCCCCTGACCTCAAACAGCCCGTCCCGCAACACCCGCCCTCGAAATCCGTGCGGTTCATGGACAACACGGCCGCGGCGGCAGCCGTGCAAGATGAGATCGACGCCGAGGAGGATCGCAACCGGCGGAATCTCTTCCAGCCCTATCGCGACGAGCCGTCGCCCTCGGGCCCCGATCAGTCCGGTATGAGCAACCAGCAGATCCACGACTACCACTCCCAGACCATCCGTGACCAAGACGACCAGCTCGATCGCCTAGGCGAGTCCATCGGGCGCCAGCATGAGTTGAGCATCCAGATTGGGGATGAGCTGGAGGGCCATGTCACTCTGTTGGATGGCATGGACGGGGACGTAGATAGACACCAGACTCGGCTGGATGGCGCGCGGCGGCGGCTGGACCGTTTCCGGCGCAAGGCTGGTGATAATTGGAGCTTGATGACTATCGTCGGGCTGATTATCATTCTGGTGATCTTGATTGTGATTCTGAAGTAATGGTTGTTTCTTTTGGGGGGTTTTTTTGGGATGGGCGTTTGTATCTGGGCTCTGATTGTTATGGCGTGGTAACACAGGCGTTGCGGTAGTCTCCTTTTATTTCCTACCCTACATACACTGCACAATGGACCCTATCCTCTCGGATAACATTCTTCCCACCTAACAAATAACTACCTCCAACAACATGATATAAAATGACCACCGAACAGCAACCAACTATTGCGGCTTATTCAACGGCCCCTTGCCATTAAGCACATTTTTCTTCCGCTCCTGCATCGCCTGGAAGGCCTTATCATCGGTATCGACCTCGCCTCGATCCGCTTTGACCTGTTGTTGAAGCAATTTATTTAGCCTTCATGCTCCGATAACCAATACTGGGGGAAGAAGGAAAGAGAGAGAGGAGGGAAGGACATACGTCTGCTTCACTGTTACTCGCCAGCTCAGCGCTCCACTTCGCCTTCCCTTCCTTGTGGTTCTTGACCTGGTCTTTTTTCTGCCCTTCGTAGAAATTGGGCAGGTCGTCGCGGTCTAATGGGGGGTTAATTAGCTGTTGCTCGTGCTGCTGCTTGGATGGATGCTGGTATTGATGAGGTGGTAGTGTCTCACTTACTCTTGTCAGACTCCTTCAAGGTAGGGCGTATCGCGGAGGAATGAAATGGAGAGCAAGATAGAGAGGAGAGACCGTAGATTGGTCGAGGGGTTGAGCGCGAGGTTGCGCGGATCGAGGTGAGGAACGACATGGTGGATGAACGGATGATTGAATTGAATCGGAAAGGATGGTGTACTGCAGAGGACTCTCCGAGCTGTCTGGTCTGGAACCGAGTTTCACCGGGTTTACTCAGAAGACGAGGTAGAGTAAGGTGTAGCTCAGATATGTAGCGGAAACACTTTGACTGAACTGAAGGTGTTGAAGCTAAACAGTGACAGTCACCAGATGGAGAGCACCCCACAAGAGCGACGTCAGGCCGGGACACAGGATACACCCTTGGCACTCTTCGTGTCCTTTGATTTGATCCCGGATTTGACCTCGGCCTGCGAGTGGCCGACAAGGATCGAGCAGTGCACCGGTGACGTCAGCGATACTTCAGGCTGTCGGACTGCGCGGATGCCGCTCTCATTATTCTCTTCCGAAGAAATTGATCGAAGGGGTGATATTTCTAAGGTAGAGTATATGGCGGCTTCTGATTATTGTGATCAACATGTCTGCGTTTAAGCTGGCGGTACGGTACAATATTTCCTGACCAGGGAGTCCGAGTGGATGACATCACGAACAGACTACGGAGGATAAACAGAGTATTCTGAAATAATCAGTCTGAAATTGTAATATACGAAGAATTGAGATATTCAAGCAAACACGTCAATTTGTCCAGGAACAGCTCGCATGCTAGAAGAGAGTAGAAGCGATATGAACAAATGAGACGTGGAAATGACAGTATGCAAGACCCAAAACGAATCATACAGCGCGCTCAGCGAGGCAACGCAGAAGAAAAAGAATAATAAACGAAGGACAACCATTTTTAAGTGCAAATATGGTCTATTCACTCGCCCAGTGCCGCGAGAGACCCCCAGGATATCGAATTCAAAACAAAGACATCATCAATCAAAAGGACAACTCCGCATTCCCAGTCCGTGGCTTCGCTCGCAACCATCCCAACCAGCCACTACCCGTGGCCAAGTATAAGCAATGAGTATCTCACGCAATCCCCGAACCAAAATATACAGCAAAAAAAGAGAAGAGTGCAGATGGCAAACCCCAACAAACAAAAAGCCCAAAGCAATGCAGACGTGTATCGTTTCCGCCTCTAGATCCTTTGCAAAATGATAAATCCCATCCGAACCAAAGATCAATCAGAACCCCAGAAACCATAAAACAAGGAAATCGTCGCTAAGCAATCGGTGTATCTGGCAGCGTCGCTGGCAAAAGCATCCCCGAATGAAAGTTCAACTCCGTACCCATAGATCAAGACCTGCACGTCAAGTAGCAAGTCACCGCTCGTTCTATACATCATCGGCGGGAAAGAAAACAAAGAAAGGGTCAACAAAAGGGGGTGTTCGTCTCTCCCGGAGAGACGAAACAGGTATCGTTTGGCGAAAAACAAAAAAAAGATGCAGAGAATCGAATCGTAGGCGCCGTCGCTCGCAAGAATCTAGAGAGGCGAAGGTAGTCGTGATCGAGAAAGAGAGGTGGTGAGTGTGTATATACAGAGCCGATTTGAGTTTTTCGCTTTTTTTTTTCCGTGTGTTTTCGATCGTATAACAAAGATATTTTTCCGGTTTGGTCGTGTCGAATGCAATAAGCCGTATCAGACAAGAATGCAAGAATGGAAAATATTATGACCCGCAAATTAAAGGAACCCCCCGATGATGCAGAATGACGCAGGTGACGGACGTGCAGAGAACAGGCAAGAGACGTAAAAGGGCGCTAGGCCGCGACGTATGGCAGAACACGTTCTCACCATCGACGCTGGGCAGTCTGCATCATCCCCGGGGTAAGCGAGGACGGGGGGCTCGACATGGACATTCCGGTATTAGGGTTGATAATCGGAATGACCTTGCGGGTCCGGTTGGCAGGCTGCTGCTGCTGCTGCTGGAAGTTGGCCTGATTAGGATTACCGGTCACACCAGCGTGGGCAAAAGAGTTGGCCTGGGCGGGAGAGAGCGAGATGGACGGGGCGACCTGCTGCACGGGCTGGATCTGATGCTGCAGCGGCGAGGTATCGGGTGAACCACTCGACAGCGACGACCGGTCGGAAGAGGCGGAATGAATGGAGTGTAGCTGCAGAGAAATGAAACATTAGAACCAGCTGTTCCCCGGGTGACTCTTTTCTTCAGAGACACTGCAGTGACGATCTTCAAGGGGTAGGGGGCGGCGGTCTCAAGAAGATCGTCGAGCCAACAAACATACATCGTCCTCTGTCAGGAGACCCGGACAGAACTCGAGGTCATCATCCAGGTCGAAGGACCGGCCTGCTTCAAACCTCGCCCGGAACGCCGTCATGGCAGGAGCTTCGGCCAGTTCCCGCATGCTCTTCACCCCCCGGAATTGACGGGCATTCTGAGTCATCTTGGGAGCCCGACGAGAGCGACCGTGGTGATTGTGGTGGTTGGCGGACTGCATCCCGTGCTGATGGTGTTGCTGGTGCTGTTGGTGGTTGTAGAAGAAAGCAGACATGATGGATGGGTTTTCGTTGAGCCAGGTGGATTGGAAGCCAGCACCCGGAGGAACAAAAGAGAAAGATAAAAGAAGGAAGGGTGTGTTTATGAGAAACGGTGGCGGATGGGGGATACAAAAAAGTAGTACAAGAAGATGGGCGGGGGAAGAAACAAAAGGTGAGTTGATGAAGGAAGTCGAGAGTCTGAGAGAGAGAGTAGCAAGTGTCGAGTTGTGTGGGAAGAGGCAGGGAGGCGAGGGAAAAAGAGGGGTGTTTTGGGGCTGAGGAACAGCGGTGTATGGTCACGTATTGTCATTAAGCCCCTTGTCAGTGGCTGGGTTGGTGGACGGCCCCTGTCACATACGGTCACCGCCCAAGGCTAGTGCCAGTCCAGCACCAACCAAGTGGCGAGATGGGGGAGGCAGAGCCAATCAGTTCGGCGGTGGTGGAGTCGCTGCATCGTGCAACGTGACGTCGACTACAGCGGCTAGTCCATTCCGGGTTTTAGGTTCACAGCCGAAGACAGCGAGAAGGGACCCAAGGTATGTATGCCGCCAGTATTTAATACCACGAGGTGCGTTTGCATACCACAGGGAGAGAGAATGATGGGGGCAAGTCACGATGACGAGGGGAGGAGTCTCCTATCCGATCTCTCTAATATATATCATAAGACTAGACCGACGGAGGAGTAGTTATACGGACAGGGGTTGGGGTCCTACCACAGCCCGCTCACCACAGCCCACTCACAACAAAATCCTTTCCACCCCAACCTTTGAACATTATTTCCCACTAAGCCTTATCGATCAGCACGGTGGGGGGAGAATGTGCACTGATTTCTTGTTTCGTTGACTCAGGGTGGGCCTTTGTCCATGCACAGTTCCTGGCTATAGGCCGGGTAAACCCTGCCGGACCTGGAATGGGCGCCTGCTGGAACAGCTAGCCCTGCATGCTTTTGGCGCTGACCCAGACAGTGATCATTATTGGGTTCGATTATTTGCTACCGAGCGCTTTGACTACATAATCAGTGCTGCCGAGGCGCCTGCCATGGCTTCGCCTTGCCTAATGGCGAGATATTTTGTTGCCGATTGGATGGTGAACTTGTAGATCCGTCGGTGATTGACACACTACATATCCAGTTCAATCGCATATAACCATCCTCCTCATCACGGAAGCTATCGATTAGATCTCGATGAATCGAATTCACGAAGCGTGACCGCGCAATACTAGACTCCACAGTCCATCCTTCCGCCATTAGCCGCTACAAGTGACTACTATACAGCGGTGAGGTCTACCAAAAATAGGTGAATAAGATTAATATAAGACGAATCCCGGATTGGTCTTGCCTTATACCCCGTACCGTACAGTCAGGGAGTTGCTAGGTCCGGTTTGGCTGCAAGTTTCGGCTTCATCCATCCTGGGGGATCACACTAGAGCTCAGTTCTCAGCCACAGATCTAAAAGGAAGAGCGAGGAGTCCTTGGTCAACGTCACGGAAGATATTCGAAACACGTCCTGCTTGTCGCGGAGTCGATTCTAAAAAGGCCGTTCTGTGACTCGGATTGAGATGACGGGCGAGATTGAAAGGTGCATGCATTACAAAATTACAAACAGTCAAGTCGACTGTACCTCTACTCTTTGCGAAACCACAGTTAATATCTTGCTTCGATACTATGTATGCCATTCCAATCTAATGCTTGAGACGCTATTCTGTATGCAGTGAAAATGCAAACCCCCTATAACTCCAAAGAAACCAAACGCCTTGTCCTCGTATGCATCACTTGTCCAGATTCTTGCTCTTCACCATCCTTCCAATCAGTTCCTTACAGTGCTTCTCACTGTATTGCTCCCACACCTCGTATAGCGAGATCAGCTCCTGAGTACAGTCAATCACGGCTTTGATGTCGACTTCGCTTTCCGCCAGCCAGTTGATAAGCTTTTGGATCTTTGGAGGAGCCCCGGCAGCGAGTTTATCGGATAATGTCGCTAGCATATTCGGCCCGCCCTCTCGCAGACTGCTGGACAAGGAGGGCTGCGAGGATCCCGACGAGAGACTACCCGAATGCGCTGGCCTGAAAACCACGGCGATAATGATCGCCATAATGGCAATCACATGAGGTGAATACAGTAAGGGCAGGTCAGTTAGATAGTGATCGTTGATCACCGACCAGGCCAGGGCGACCTCGTCTGAGCTTAGAGTCAACTCGGTCTGGAGCTCCGACAAAGTGCGGTAGGGATGGTGCACAATGAGCTGTGAGTTCATCTCTGAGATTAGAGCAAACTCGCACTCGCCAAGTTTCGCCACATCGGGGGTGATGAATTCTGGCACTGGTCAATACTATGTGCAAGAAACGTTCAGAGGGACCTACCTGGCCACAGTCCGCGTGCTTCGCCGACGACAAATCGGATGTGCTGCGGACACTCTTCCATTTTGCAAGCCAAGTAAAAGGCCGTCGTCAGAACCAGATATGGGTTCGTCTGCCGCACCTCATTTTTGGTGTAGAATCGCTTCAGATACACCTGAGCGGTGGCAATGGCCTGCTGCCGGGTGGACATGCGCTTGCCCAGCTTGATGAGTTCTGTGATACCATGCTTAGCCGTTTTATCCAACACTGAAAGGATAGATCTCCTCACGTTGGTTGAAGTAGATGTTCAGCAGCCGGCTATCCGGCAACGGGAACTGCGAATGGGCGACCTTGTCCCGCTCGCGAAGGCGCTCACGGACATCGGCCAGTTTCTCTCGCGAGAACAGCCAGTGCCGCCGCTGCGTCGAGGCCCAATAGTTGGCGGCCATTGGTCTTTTGGAATCGTATCATTGATTCTTGAATGGTCAGAGGACGAAGGGGGATTCCCGATCGGGTATAATAGGGCTTGGCCCTCTGCGGTCCCGTGCCTCCCGGCCCCAATAATGGCGTCAACTGCGAAAGCAAATGATCGCGCGCCGATTATTCATTCTTCACCTCCTTCCCAACCCCCAACTCCAGGGTTCGGCGACCCGACTTTGTTGTTTTCGATGAACCGAGATTTTTTGTCTCTGACCGTTCGGAAGCTCCCCCCTTTTTCTCAGGATCATGCCCCGTGTCCGGTAACAATCCTCTCGACCATGGCCCCCGAGTCGCAAGACGAACGGGACAAACGAGTCCAGCAGCTGTGGCACTCGTTGGACACGCGCCGGGAGGGCAACGTCGACCTGGCTGGGCTGAAGAAGGGACTGAAGAAGATCGATCACCGTGAGTCTGATCGGGTCCCGTGCCGCATCTGCCCGACTGACTGACTGGGGTCCAGCCCTCAAAAATGCAGATGATATGCTACGCAATATTCTGCGGGAGGTCGACACCAACGGCGATGGCCGCATCGATGAATCCGGTAAGATCACGCGGTGGTTTCTTGGAGACTGCTGCCGCCTTTTACAATCCTAATCGTCGCCAGAATTTCGTGCCTTTGTCGACCACACCGAGAGCGGGCTCTGGCAGATGTTCCAGAGCATCGACCGCAACCACAACGGAGAAATCGACAAGGCGGAGCTGCGGTCTGCCTTTGCGGCCTCGGGCGTCACCGTCTCGAGCGCCAAACTCGACGAGTTCTTCACCAAAGTGGACAAAAACAACGACGGGGTAATCTCTTACGCGGAGTGGAGGTACGAACAATCCCAACACTTCCCCAGGGCTATAGCTAACCATTCGATAGGGACTTTTTGCTCTTTCTCCCTCTCCACTCACCGTCGGATCTACACGCTGTCCTCTCATACTACACGGCTACGGGCAATCTAAACCCGGAAGGAGATGTCCACATCAATGATCTGCAGGGTTTAGGTACAGACCACTCGTTTCTTACCCATTATCTCCTGGCCATCCAGAACCTCTTGTACAATATCCTCTCACTGCCCGCCCTCGCCTCCCTCCTCCCATCAGCCCACGCGTCAACCAGCCCGTCCTGCACCGTCAGGAACCAATTTGCCTCGTTAGACGGCGAACTTGAGTTGGAGCGGTTGCCCGTCCCCAAGACTGTCGCCATGTGGATGTCCCTCCGATATTATGAACGGAAGTTGACCGAAAATACCCCTCAATTAGGCTACTTCATTGCAGGCGGTATCGCGGGCGTCGTGTCGAGGACGGCCACCGCGCCCCTCGACCGCCTCAAAGTCTATCTCATTGCGCAGACCGGTTTCAAGAGGACGGCGGCTCATGCAGCAAAGGATGGGCTCCCTTTCGCTGCCGCCGGCAATGCATCCAAAACGCTTCTTGACGCTCTCAAAGAACTATGGCGGGCGGGAGGAGTTCGGAGTTTATTTGCCGGTTGGTGAAATTCCTTGTGGCTTGGTCTCGGATCTGATCATTGTCTAGGAAATGGGTTGAATGTGGTGAAGGTGATGCCGGAGTCTGCAATCAAGTTTGGAGCTTACGAGGTTTGTGTCTGTTGCTCTGAAATTTGTTTTGTACTGACTTGAAATAGTCTGCAAAACGAGCTTTTGCGCGATTTGAAGGACATAACGACCCCAGACGTTTACTCCCAACCTCGCAGTTTCTGTCCGGTGGCTTTGGTGGAATGGTGGCCCAGTATGTTTTGTGATTCTCAGAAGCATTGGTTTTTATCTGACTTATTGCCAGGTGCTTTGTTTATCCTCTCGATACCTTGAAATTGTACGTTGTCTGCCCAAATACTTTGGACGCCATCACTGATTACCTTTCACAGTCGTATGCAATGTGAAACCGTGGAAGGAGGACTCAGAGGCAACCAGCTCATCGCCGCAACGGCAAGGAAAGTGTGGAACAAAAGCGGTCTATTTGGTTTCTTCCGTGGTCTCCCCCTTGGATTGATGGGAATGTTTCCCTACGCCGCGATCGACTTGACGACATTCGAATACTTGAAACGAGCTCTCCTCGCTCGGAAAGCACGCCAGTATCAGTGCCACGAGGACGATGTGCCTCTCAACAATGTCACCACGGGAGCCATCGGTGCTCTCAGCGGTGGCCTTAGTGCCTCGGTGGTCTACCCCCTCAATGTTCTTCGGACCCGGCTGCAGGCCCAGGGCACGATCCTGCACCCTCCCACCTACGCTGGCATCGGCGATGTTGCTCGCCGGACCCTTAAAACCGAAGGCGCCCGCGGTTTCTACAAGGGGCTTACGCCTAACCTTCTCAAGGTGGCGCCAGCTGTGTCGATCAGCTACGTGGTCTATGAGAATTCAAAACGAATGCTCGGCCTGAAGTGATCCCACCATCCGATACTCTACCCCGCCACCAATTCTCACCTACTGCTCCACCGACACGTCACACCCGTCCCAATTTTGGCTGCATTTCCTATTGTTCCCAGCTCTCAGAACATTCAACAAGATACCCACATACAATCCCATCGCCATACATGGCATAGCAGCCCTCCCACTTTGGATACATCTATGAATTCCCTCCTTCTCTTCTTCGCCTATCTTCAGCTATGCCGTTTTTGAGAATCTCCTGCATCTAGGTCCACTTGGCTTGGCTCCTATTCTTAGCACCACAAACGCTCATCCACATATCTGCATGGCACGGCGTCTAGGCATATTGTGGAGCTTATACACAATACCATTGGGATGCTTTTTACTTTTTTGGTTGTTCATTGGAAATACACATTGGTTTTACACCTTGGCTTTACATAAGGTTCTAGGGCAATCGAAGCTGGCTCTGGCTCTGGCTCTGGCTCTTGGTCTTGGTTTTTGTAAAACACCCATGGAACACATTTTGGACACGAGATAGCTTTTACATATACTAGAAAAAATATGAAGACCTATGAAACTGACACCGAAGATAACACGGGTGGCAGCCGCGTCCGACATGGTACGAAATGTGCAAGGCTCTATTAACAAAATCCATTCTAATGCTCTTCGGTGGCATCTAGTGTCATGAACTTGCTTGGCGGAAGGTTGGAAATTTGAGGCCTGAGGCTGGAACTTCGTAAACATGGAAGGACTGGATTCTTTGTTCCTTCCTCTCTCTTTCTCTTCTGTTCTTCTCCCACTTCTCTTTTCCAACCCTCCTACTTCCCAACCTCTTCCGTCAGACGTCTACGACCATGATTCCTTACAGGAACGATTGTTTGCCTCTGGTAGTTGACTTCCCTTATGACGAAAGTGGGCTTCGCTCATAGCGTCGTTCCCTGGCACAGAGCGCATCTCGCGCGAGAGGTACGTCTCCTTCCAGTTTTCTTAAGTTGTTGCTAATTTCCATATAGAAGCAAGCCTACCTCGACGTGACCTGCAGGGACGTTGAGGGCCTGGGGTAACTTACAAGCAACAGACACGTCGAGTGCTTTTGATAGTCGGTTTAGGTGTCACATCATCATCCCACCAAGCACGGCTGGAAATGTGGCAGTCCCAACCACATCGAGGCCAACTGCCCACATTTGGGCCGGCAAGCCCCCCCCCCCGGGTCCCGTCCTGCACAATGTACGTACTAAACTCCATTGATCCCTTGGTCTGTCTGCTCATGCTATGATAGCAGGTGTTCATCTTCAACGTCGCCGCCGGTACCAACATGGCCGGCATGCTAGCCGGTTGGGTGGTGGCCATGGTGAGATAGATGTGGATTGATAACCTGACTATCAAAAGGTTTCTACACGCGTTCTATGCGTCTGTTGCTTGAGCTACCCCACGGGCTCCGATACCAACGTCTCTGGCCCCGTATCGGGCCACAAGAAGGCCAATCAGGACACGAATAAGGACAAGAACATGTCCTTGGCCTTATTGGGGGAGAAATGGAATGGGCATGGATGGGGACAAGGACGAGGGACAAGGACATGGACATGAACAATTATCACTCGCGGTTATCGCGTAGGCATACAATCAAATCCAGCAGGCAAATCCCATCCTTCCACGCAGGCATCAATCAATCCATTCACCAATTTCATTCATTGAATATTTTGACCGCCCATCCCTCGTACTATTTAAGACCCCCTCCCACCCCACTTCCTCTTTCCTTCTCTCTCTCCCTCCCCATCTCCCTCTCATTATTACGGCTCTTCCACACAGGACTCATACAACTCCCGCACTCATCCTTCACGATCAGGTAGGTCCCTTCGTCTCCCTTCTTCATACGACGGTCACTTACCCCTGTCTCCAGATCTTGCGCCGTCCACACATGTGGCTCTTCTCCCGTTGGTCCAATATTGATTCTTACGACGAGATAGGCTGCCGATCCAATGGTGGGTCAGGCAGCCTGGTCATGGCGACAACCACCGTGCAATGATTATGCCAATCACACGGCCAGAAGGCCAAGCACAACGACAAGGACAAGGCCAAGGGGGGGGGCCGTCGGCTGAGCGGGCGCTGGAGACTCCGTCGGCCGAAGGGGCGCTGGACGCCTTCCCCGGTTTTGATGACACAGAACTGGATCTGGAGTTGTGATTGCCATTTCTTCTTGTTATTAATATATATCCTCGGTTCGGCTACGACCTCGCAAGCCCGTCAGCGAAATACCGACTCCCACAACCTAAGGCCAACAACGACCAGAACAAGGCCAAGGGCGGCCCCGTCGGCTGAGCGCGCGCTGATGGTCCCCGTGGATTTGATGACGCGCAGCTGGATCTGGAGCTGTGATGGCCTATTTTCCATGTTATTATTTATCCATGACCGTTGGTCCAATATTGATTCTTCCGAGACAGGCTGCCGATCCGATGGGAGGTCAGGCAGCCTGATCATGACGACCACCACCATACAATGACAATGCCAATCACAAGGCCAGGTTTAAGGACAACGACAAGAAGGTCCAAAACTAGGCCAAGGGCGGCCTCGTCAGCCGGGCGGGCGCTGGAGGCGCCCCCCGGTTTTGACGCAGAACTAGATCTGGAATTGTGATTACATTTTCTTCTTGTTATTATATCTATCTACAAATGAATCCTTTTCCCTCCAGCGCCCCCCGGTTTCAACGATGCGGAACTGGATCTGGAATTGTGATTGCATTTTTTCCTTGTTATTAATATCTATCTACGAATGAATCCTTTTCCAAGTCCCCATTGTATTCTCCCTATGTATTTACCCATGCCTTGTCTTTATTTCTGTCATTTGCTTTGTCTCTTAAGAGCAAGCGAGGAGAGGATAATTTGCAGAATAATGGTGCGTCGTTCATTATCAACAAGAGTCTACCTCTGGCAAGAGATCACCAGTAAGAGAGGCAGTTCCATTATACTCTGTTTCATCCCCGGACGGCGATATGTCAGTTGCTAGTGGCCGCTGGAGAGTAGACATACAAGGAGATGCGAGATATATATCCAAATCCGATCCGTCAAAGTGCCAAAAAATTCAAACACTCCCGCCAATCCTACGCCAAATCCCTCTCCACTCAATCCCATCGTTGCCAACTAGTCCTCTATAATTCCATCTCCGGCTTTCCTCCTGTCTCGCATCCCTCCGCAGCTCGCTAACATGAAGCCAAAGTCTACTTTCGGGTCGGCGAGGGAGGCCGGGTTCCTGGGCTGGGATAGATAACCTGTCTTAAAGCAAACTGTTGCGCTTTTTCTATATTGGATACGTTCGCTAGCATGCTTCTAATATATGTGCCTCGTACCTAATGCACGCCATTGCAATAGGACCTAGGCGGGCGGCCTTGGCACGGCTCCCAATAGAAACCGATCCTACATGGTGACATGCAATCTAGTCAAGTAAATAGATCAAAACTAGGTCGAAACCCGCACGAAAAAGATGGTGTGGTCTAGTTAGTAGCCCTTTCAACCTTCCTGCATCACAAAACATAAGCTAACCTATTAAAAGGTGGTATGACGTCACGTTGTGGCCGTGCCAGCCCCGGTTCGATTCCGGGCACCGTCAATATCTTTTTTTGGTCTTTCAAGACCATCTATCAGTGGCTATAGCTATTCATTTTTTTTTTGTTAACTAAAACTAGTTACAGGACCAAATTAAAGTAAGTTTACGCAGATACACCGGTCACTAAGTTTGAATACATACCTGACATTCGTCTCCGCTTTCATGTTACTAGCTGTGATCTGCACTATAGCTAGTCGTGGTCTGCTCTACTAGTATGAGATATATATTGGGCAAGATCTGTTCATCTGTGTCAATATATGGTTGTTGACGTATTTGTCCATTTGAGGAGAAGCAACGCACTGCTACAAATGTTAGGAATTTACTTCCTATTGAGTAGTTTCAATGGCAAATACATCCTAATTTCCGTCGCATTTTATTATTTAATATGGCCGTCGTTCAAACGTAGTCATTAGAAAGGCAGCAAGACTTCGATAGAGGTCGGGCTCGGGCTATATCTGTTAACCCCCCGATCGGAAGTAAAAGGGGATGCATAGATCAACTACTTTATGTCTCTTCAGAATGATCGATCATATTTCTTGCATGCTTTGGAAACTTGTGGATTGTGAGATTGTGATTATATCCTAGCCCTCATTGGACGCTAACAACGCAGAACTACCGATCAGAGACATTTCGTAAAGCCGTTGATAAATGCGGTTTACGTTTATTTAAAAAAAGGCTTTTATAACAACTAAGGGTATGTATTGGTTATCCTATTGGGATAAAAGATTACTTCTAGACAAAATTGGAAACATCCTTTTCGACACAGCAAATGTCTTCTACTATGGTAGATTCACCGTCCCTCGAAGCAGTCTGGAATCGATATTATTAACTTCTACCGAACACAGGCTTGATATAGTTGATACTGGTAGTAACAACTTCGATTGTTGAATTTATAGAGCTGATAGTGGAAGCTGAAGAAATTTACAAGGACTGTGAGTCTCGGTGGGAAGAGTTAGTAACTATTTTGTCAGGTTCTCGAACATAGGGAAGGAAAGAAGAAGAGGAAGCACATGTATAGAAAGTAGTAGTGGATCAGACAGACAATTGCAAACATCCGTTATGTGTGACGATGTAATAAAGCTGTATTGGAAAGCAACCTCCGTTGCCGAGGAAGCAGTTAACCAACTTAAACTTAACTAAAGAGCTGACTAACATTCATACACGTGATAAGGACGTCGGACCGTAACAATCCGACTTGACCCTCACAAAATTTTAAAAAAAGATAAGATGGCGCTGCCCGGAATCGAACCGGGACCAATTCGGGATAAGTTTAGCTGAAATAGCCACAACGAATCATCTTACCGTTAGACCACAGCACCCGCGGTTAGTGGAAACGTTTCCATTTTGAACTAATAGCTCCTATCGTTAGGAGCCAAGCCAAGCCCGCCCGCCCAGGTCCCATTGTAATCACATATCAATTTTAAAGATGTGATATTATACACTTGATTAGCCTGCACACGACTATAGAGTACTGTAGTCGCGGCTTTCTTAAAACTAACCAGTAACTAGCTCTGATATCTTAGCTGTAACGGGCCGGGGCCGCAGTTCGATCACGTGCAAGCACGCGACCCACGCCTATTGTTTATCGACTTCGCGCACCTAGATAGCTCTCCTCTCTACGCTTTTAGTAAATTGCAATCGGCCTCTCCAGTTGGCATCTCAACTCGACTCAGCCCTACACATTAGCCCTCAGTTGCCATCAAATCGCATTTATCTACCTGCCCTCTGTCTGTAAAACACGAAAATGGGTACCTTGAACTCTCTTTCCGTCGAGCAGATCTTTATATTTGAATGCTCTCCAGAGTGAAAGTACACATAAATTGATTGTGAACAAGTTGTTTAGTTAGGGTCTTATCGAGAGACTCACTTCCCGAGGCTAGTAATCCACTCGCTGTCGTGTTTCTCCCAGAAGTTCGGTGATGAATAGCCTTCAGCTTCTTCGCTTTGGGGTATTGTTCACTGTTTGTCCGAGAGGATGGCTCTACCAAGGCTTTCTCGCTTTCAGGCATGTTGTAACCGTGGTGAGGCTAGGTGTTGGGAAGGAAATTGACATAGGTAGTTGATGACGAGAGATGGCTAGAGCACGGGCGGAGAGGTGGTTAGCGAGAACAGGTGACAAATAGGAGGGAAGAAGGTATAAAAGGGTGGATCGTGGATGAGAAGAGAGGAACAAAGGTGGAAAGAGTAGGAAGGATGAGAAAGGGATGCACCTAATATATAGGTGTAGACAAAGATAAACACAAGGACGGAGTTTACCTGTATGTGAGGTTAGACCCTGGCAGCGCCCAAAATATATACTTTTAACCTCATTTGGCTCCAAACTACGGAAGTCGCTCTGGGAGAATCCACCTCCTCCCTAATTAATAAGCTCTCCAGACATCAAGAATCTGAATAGCCTCAATATATTCCGATTCAACGTGGTCTTGGAATTTGACAGCGCGGAGGTCTGCACTAGCCCCTGCTATAGTCTTTCGCAGTACATCGTCGGCCTCGTCATCACCATTCTCCTGCTCTTCTATTTTTGAAGGCCCCCACATTTGGGAGAGTACTCTCATCTCGAGAGTGCTTTCGTCATCCTGTATAGTCTCGAGATCAGGGTTTAGGAAACTGTCCAACAATAACGTCGTCGATGACGGCTACGCGGCGGCTAGATTTAGGCTGGAGATAGGAGGATTAGGCGTCGTTTGAGAAAAGACCAGATCTCCTGATCGATTCGAACTAATATATTTGGTGAGAGGAAGGGTAGGAAGCCATCATAAATCTTAAACTGATGAATATTTCGTTGTAATAGTGGCAAATAAAATTGGAAATACTGTTGTAAAGGCGCGTTAAATCTCGGGAATTTAATTAATCCGCGGTTTGTTAATCTGGAGAATTACTCGTATCGCGTTTGTTGTTCTGCCACCCGCCCCACCAACCCTAAATTCGCGTTTTGTTTTCCTACGCGCATCACACACAGACTTCTTCTTGGACTTGTAGACGATATCCTTGAGCCTTTGCTCTTCTTTTTGGTTACATCATTCGGGAATCTGGTCTCTCCCGGATGCCTGTAGACGAATTTTTGACACCACCAACCTTTGGCAACGACGGGAACACCTGGTGATTGTTGACCAGCCACAACCGGTTTTTTTGAACTTCGCTGGCTTGTCCAGATTACCATGAGGATCGCTGCTTTGTCGTTTCCCTTGAGATGACAAGGATGGATGACGCAGCGCGTCTTGTATCTCGTTGTTTTGGTTTGCCTCTCCTCCAATTTGGACATCAGTGTTTTTGACTTGCTTGGTTTCACCATGTAGGCTACTTATCCCGAGCACCACGAAAAGGTGCAAGTCTGGCTCGGGGCCCGCGTACATTCGAAACCTGTACAGCAGGGCTTGACCATTGAAAAAAAATAAAAATAAAAAAAGACAACAGACACAAGCGACCGCACACAAGGGGCCACTCACCTAAACCGCACTCGTCAAGAGTGCCAAAGCCAGCCTGCCGCCATGCCAGTCTCGAGTTGTTCTCCCATAGTGGAGATAGATCACGTCTCCCATAGTGGAGATGGATCACGTCGAGTTCTCACCGGCTTCGCAGCTTCCTCGGCATTCGCAGCTTCACTCATCAAGAGTACCAAAGTCAGCCTGCCGCCACGACAGACTCGCTGCCATGCCAGTCTCGAGCTGGTCTCCCATAGTGGAGATAGATCACGTCTCCCATAGTGGAGATGGATCACGTCGAGTTCTCATCGGCATTCGCAGCTTCTTTGGCCTTTTTGATCGTGTCAGCGGCGCACTTACGGCAAAGAGGCCGGCACAGTTCCTTGTGAACAGTGAACTTTTTGGCCGCTGCAGACTCTTCCCTGCCGCATAAGCCGCAGAAGACCTTGCCTCTTTCGTCCCGGGTCTTGTCCACCTTCACCGTAGCCTCGTTCAAGCGCTGCAGATGCGGTGTTCGGCGCTCGCCGGTTCGCTTGAGATACTGAGTGCAGGCGCGGCAAATATCCTCGCCGTTCTCCTTGCTCCAGCTCGTGCTCACACCGAGCTCTCCCTCCTTACCCTCGCAGGTATAGCAGGTACGAGAAGGCATCTGCCGAAGCATGTCAAGATCCTCCGAGGAGAATTTGCTGAGCGGATCGGGACGTTCTTGACCAGGGTGCTGCAATCTAAATGAATAGCACGTCTGGCAGCGAAATCCATCGTCTTTGGTCCAAATAAGGGGCCTGCCGAATTTCGCAAGGTGGAGAGCCTCCGTCATCGGACAATCGCCATTCTGGCAACTAGGATCGGCTTCACGGGCCGCATCTCGCTCCTGTTGGCGAATCTTAGCGGCCAGGTCTCGCACCCTGCCGTGCTCGTACCAGTGCGCGGCGCATCCTCCGCACATCCACTTGTCAAGAGACCGGACGTGGTGGAGGTCCCGCGCTTCAATATTCTGCCAATCCCCGCAGTGCTCGCAGCGCTTTTTGATGCCAGCCTTGTTATCGGCAGCCGACGTTAGCTCGACATTGTGGTTATGAATCCACTCTGCGTCGGGCAATTGGCCTTTGTCACGGCGCTGTTTCCAGCAGGATTCGCACAGATATCCAGCGAAAGCATCTAAGGGGTCAAAGATGAAGCGAAGTTTCACGGCCACATCGCAACGACCCAAAGTCCCTTCCTTGCGACGGCGAATAAAATCCGCTTTTCGCACAACACGGTGGGTGCAGCGAGGATTGCAGCACGCCGACTCTCCACGCAACAACGTGCCGGCGACTCCCTGCTTCAAGGACCAAACCATATTCAGTCCATTCCACCCCGGCGAGAACAGCCAGTCGGGCCGGACGTCCTTGGCCAGATCAAATGTGACCTGAGGGCAGTACCTGAACGGTCGCCCGTCCGCCTTCCAGGTATCAAGGATGATCATAAACAGACCCTCCAAGAGCTGAGCCGCCGCGGTGTCCTGGCGCGGAGTGAACACGGCAAGCAACTTGAAGACATTGCCTGTCGCCGCAGGTGAACTGGCCCGCTTGTAGTGGGAGTTGGACCGGTCCCGCTTTCTGATGCAAGCAGCATGTCCGCTGTGGCATCGCTTGCCCACTGCGCTGCTATACCCAGTGTAGACATCGCATTCGGTGTTGCGCTGGTCGGAGAAATGTCCTGTAACCAGGTCACAATACACACCCATGCGTGTATCCCATGGGCGCACAGTCTCTAGGGCACGCAGATCCTGCAGAGTCCACTGCTCTTTCTCAAAAAGCACCCGGACCTCGGGCAGAATGGCTGGGAGCAGCCGTGCGAGCAAGTTTTCGCATGATGTCCGCTGAAGGATGCCATAGAATGACCACACGATCGGGAGGTCCCTCTTGAAGTCATCGAAGGACATGCTGTTAAGCTTAGCCTGCAAGACTTCAACGGTCTCTCTCAAAGCCCGGTGGAAGATGTCATCCCGCATGGGATCAAGGTTGGCGCTCACACTCCCGGAAGAAGTGCTTACCACGCCAGGGCGCTGACCCCCGGAAGGGCTTGCCACGCCCGAGATGATTCCAGTGCTAGCAGTCACACCTCCAGAAGAGGTGATCCCCATGCCGACACTCACATCCCCATCAGAAGTAACGACACCCTTGTCCTGCGGATCAAGGTAGTCGTCAGCATCTGGGTCATCCTGAGGATCGTACTCGTCCTCAGGGAAGTCGAACTCCTCAAGGCAAGGAGCAATTTCATCATCATCATCCTCAATCTCACCCACAAGGCCAGCAAAAGTCTGCACACCACCATCCAGTGGAAGCAGAGGAGCAATCCTGGCCGCATGGATAGCAGCCGTTGGGGTATCGACGCCTTCAGTCCCAGAGACTTTCTGGGCAACGGCAACTAGTTCTTCATCACGAGCACGAGACTCGGACGAAACCCCAGGATTCTCCTCCGTACCTCCCAGTGTGAAGGGGTTCTCTTGGCGCGAGGATGGCCAATAGAACAGCTGCTCAAATGGCTCGTGTCTAGGATAGAGGGTGGGAGGGACCGGCTGGGTATCGACGGGATCGTCGGCCGGCGTAAGAGTTTGAGTATCACCAGCCTTTTGGAAGAAGCTGGTGATCTTGGCACCCGTCCCTTTCGAAGTCTGCAGCTTCTTGTTAGCCGACTTCTTGGATACCGAGTTTGATTGCTGCGGCCTCTTTCCACCTCCAGGCCGCCCACCACCACCACCACCACTCGCAGAACGCGAATTGGGGGGACCTTGCGATCCCCAAGGCAACATGTTCAAATCGTTTATCGATATTCAATCGAAAAACACGAAAAATCGAGGGAAAAAAACGCGTTTTGGATCTCGATGGTTGGTGAACTGATGAGGGTGGATGGCAGTACTTCGACGCTGTCACGCTGGCACCCCATCAGATTTCAGCGCCATATTCTTACACTACATGCAAAAGACACTGGCTAATTGATTCATTTTTAGAGATGGAGAAGTTTTTGTCACTTTGAGATAGACCAAATGCGATTTTATAATACGCCCTCTAAGAGTATGGTTGCGCAGGATGGGAAGCGTTTCACGTTTTCCATCTGGTCCAAAAAAGTCACGAGAGAAGACACCAAAGGTTCAATCATGCGCCCCAACTTTAACACTTGATCCTCGCGTTTAGAATCGTTCAGACGCGACTCTAAAAGGAAAGGATAATTACCCCATGGGTGGGTCACTGTCTGAGATTTTACCGACTTTTGTTCTGCACTACAGGTAAAAGATCAGACCGTATGTGGAGAATCTCGTGTCTTCCATCTGGTCCGGAGGAAAGTATTGAGAAAAGACACTTTTGGTTCAATCACGCCTCCCAACTTGAACACCTGATCCTCCCGTCTCAAAAAGTTTGGACGCGATTCCAAAAGGCGAGGATACTTCGCCCATGGGTAGGTCACTCTCAGAGATTTTACCAACTTTGATTCTACACTACAGGTAAAAGATCAGACCGTATGTGACGCGTGTCGTGTCTTCCATCTGGTATACAATAATTGAGGAGTGTAGATACCAGAGGTTCAATTACACGCCCCAACTTGAACATCTGACAGTAGCCCCTACGATAGCTGGACCACGAAATTAAAAACCAGGAATACTCAGTCCATATGCAGGCCACTCTCAGAGATTTCACCAACTTTGATCCTACACTACAGATAAAAGATCAGACCGTATGTGAAGCATCTCGTGTCTTCCATCTGGTCGTCGCAGGACGTTAGGAGTGGGACGAGCTGGTTGGGGGTGGATTTCCGAACGCGTCACTCGTCCAATCGGAAGCTTATCTACGTGATCTGCAGCACGCGTCGCCCAACCAATCGGAAGCCTGTGATCTACAGAGACGTGATCTACAGGGACGTCGGGGGTCTGGGGTAGAATATAAGCAACTGACGCGTAGAGTGCTTTTGGTAGTCAGGTCATCAAATCATATATTCAATCTGATTACGTTATTGATATCCGATCCAACCATGGCCCCAGCCACCATCAAATCGTGCTGGAAGTGCGGCAGCCCGCACCACACCAAGGCCCAATGCCCACACGTGGCGCGGCCCGTCCCTCCCTCCCCGGCTCCCACCCAGGCTCCGGCCAACGTATGTACTAACTCCATTGATTCCTTGGTCTGCCTACTCATGCTATGATAGTATCAAATGGTCATTCTCTCCATCCCCGCCGACGGCAACGTGGCCGGCGTGCTGGCCGGCGTGCTGGCCGGTATGGGCCCCGGGCCCTCCATCCCCCCGCCACCGTCCCGGCCCGCAAGCGGGCCCGCGATCACGACCACGACCACGACGAGTCCCCCCGCCGCGCCCCGAAGATGGCCAAGAAGGCCGAGAAGGACGAGCTCCCCCGCCGCGCGGCCAAGAAGGCCAAGAAGGCCAAGAAGGCCAAGAAGGCCAAGAAGAACAAGGAGAAGGAGAAGATCGTCGACACGGATGTCGACATGGTCGACGCGGACAAGACCAAAGACGATGGCAAGGACCACGACAAGGACAAGGGCAAGACCAATGGCGACCCCGAGTCGGCCGAGCAGGCCCTGGAGGCCGCCGAGGCGGCAATGAAAGCCGGCCCTAGCGTGTTCAGCAATGTTCCCCCCCTCCCCGAGATCGATGCCGAGGGCCTCTGACGGCCAGTTTTCTTTCCTTTTTTTATTTATCTACAAATGAATCTGTTTTTCGAGTTCCAATTGTATTCTTCCTACGTATTTACCCACGCATTGCCTTTATGACTTGTTGAGGTTCCCCATGGGTTGGGGAGAGACAGCGTGAAAAGTATGTTAGGCAGAGGGCCAGGTAGACTGTAATAAATAAGATTTGATGGCACCTGAAGACCAACAGATCAGGCGAGGATATCAGAGTGTGGCAGGCATATCGTGACTGATTAATTTGCCGCTTTGAGAAGGTGCGGCTGTTTCCCAGGTCACCGGCCTGCTTCGCTCTTCTTCTTCTTCGCCCTCCTCCTCTCTCTTCCCCTCCACCCTCCATCTCTTTCTCTCTTCTTGCCAACCACCTCTCCACCTCTTCCCTGGCCATCTCTCGTCATCGACAACCTGTTTCACTCGGGTTGTGTGGGAAGGTGGCCGTCAACGAATATTGCGATTGTACACATACTGAGACATTTATCCGGCCAGAACAACACCGAATGCAATGCCTACACTGGGTATAGTAACGAAGTGGGCAGGCAATCCTACAGCGGGCATGCTACTTGCATCAGAAGGCGGGATAGGTCCAACTCCCACTTACAAGCGGTCCTGTTCACCTCCGGCACACAGAACGCGTGTAGAGACCTCTTAATAGACAGGTATCAACCCTCGTCCCATCTCACTTACATGATCACATGATCCCATCCATCGACATGGCCCCGCCACGAAGAACTGCAGGAAGTGCGGCAGCCAAAAGCACACCAAGGTGGGCAACTGCGCAATGGATCCAGAAAATGCAGCTGGAGAACGCAATATCGGAAAAGGCAGCCAACAGCCAGGCAATCAGGGACAAAGCCCACCAGCAGCAGCGGCAGAACTACCTGCTGGGCAATCATGTCAGCGAGTATGAGGGCATCATTCACGAGGGCGAAAAGCGAGCCGATGCAAACAAACCAAAAGCCAAGGAGCTTCGAACGTCTCTGACGTAGGAGCGGAGACTGGCGCAGACCAATGACAACTACACGCAGCAAGTCGAGAAGGGATGCGACGAGCTGGAAAAGATGAATTCGGATCTGCGGCGGGCTTCGGAGGAACTGGAGAAGACCTGGAAGAGGCAGTCGGGCCAGACGGAGAAGATGGTTCACAGTCTGGAAGAGGCGCTTCCGATTTCGTCTTCTGCACGGGATAAATGGTCATCGACCAGCACTCCTCGTTTATGAAGCCTTTATCCGAGGCTGTCTCACATTCATCTCCTTGTCAGCTCTGTCAGTGCCGTGTTTCTTTATTTAGCTGACTCCAGTCAGCTCTTTGTTTACTCTTCCACAGACATCTCAATAAGTTCGATTCCTCAGTCGATTCTACTATATCCATTCCGCGAAATACCGTATCCATCATCCCAAGAATATGTACATTAACCGCGACTATGCGGGGCTTTAAGTCACGAAAAACCATGCAGACTCAGTGCAAGTGCTTCTGACATTTCTCACTGAGCATGTGGAGCAGCTGAGGTGGTGCACAGTTGAGATCTACAGGACCCTTCTGACCACACATGTACCGAGGTTAAGAAACGTAAATAGACGCTCGCATTAACAGCTCCCTCGAGCTTAATCGGTCGGGTTACAACGATCTTGGATATCGACATCTAACTCATCCTCCCCTATACAAACAATGACGGCCTGTAGAGGACATAATGGAGTTTCTTAAATTATAGTGTACTTCAATTCACTGTTCACTCATACCTCAGTACAGTGAATGTGGATCAGGTAATTCGCTACGTTGCCAAATTCATGTTGCTGACAAGTATTCTTGGGCAGTTCAGAAATGTGGAACTAGAGCCCGAAGAGGATGATGAAACGACAGTGATTGACTAGCATGGACAATTGGTGACGCTGCTGCGTATCACAGAAAGCTTGAGGCCGAGACCGCCGAGAGGTGATGAGGACTTGCCTTGAGCATCTCGAAGATCTAAAACAGAAGGAGTGTTGGAGTGTTTGAGAAAGATACTTCAAGAATTCAACGGCTTTGCAGCCGACTTTGTCCTCAAGTCTGGTCAGCTATACATCTAGTTCCAAATTGACGTGAGCGAGAAATATTGTTCATTTAAGCTGTGCTGTGCTGTGCTGTGCTGAAAAGGGAGAGTGGTTTCCCTGGATACCGAGGCCTTGTTGAGCAAGGGAGTTCAAGGTGCACGCACGTACAAAGAGCAGCGGGGATTTTCCAGCTCAAAAAAACACTGGCGGTATGGGACTGACAAAACATTGAGATGATGAGCTTCATTTATCCCTCCAAAGCCGAGCCGAAACCACGAGGACTGAACATATTTAGTCGACCAGGTGTATTATGCATGTACTTCTAGAGCAGCCGGGCATTGTCTGGCCTTACAAACCTGGCACCAGTATGGGTTATGGGCGGAACTTCTCTATTTATTCCTCATATCATCAACAGCTCCCTGATCAATTAATCGAATACATTCTCTTGATGGATTGTCTATTCTCTTTACCGTGCGCTGGTTCTCCTGTTCGTTCTTCCGGTAGAAAACCTGCATGCCAGTGTGTACACGACCCGCTCTACTAGGAGCATTGTCAACTACCTCCGAGATCCGACGCATGCTCGCTGCTATCTCCAGCCGAGTCCGGAAGAGGCTGCACATGGAAATACCCGAGCTGAAACAAGATATCCTGCCACTCTGGTTTCCCTGTGCCCATGACGGAAAAGAATTTCGTGTCCGAAGGAAACCTCTTTCTTTTCACTTGGACGACTTGTAGTGCGACGGGTGTCTGAGATGTCAGCGCCACCGCCGCTAGATAAGACACTCATCTTGTGAGATCACTTACTCAATACAACCCACTTCGTTCGCTTCCATTCCTGTGTGCTTTTTCCCTGGGCTCAATCTCTCACCTCCCCTGAGCTCCTCGTGCCGACCAACTTGTCACCTCCCTCAAGGGCTGCCCGACTGGCTCGTGTGGGTCGCATTCGTGTACCGCCACGTCAGCCGTGCTTCTCCTGTGGAATCAAGGAGCTCAAACTGTCGAGCTCAAACTCTCGCGGTGTTCCTTCAAGCGGCCGTCGAAACCATGATGCTGCGGATATAGGGTGGCCGAATAAACCGTTTCGCTGGTTTCAGTCCCTTCCCTTCGCTGACAGGTTTTGCTGCTTCACGTTGGGAAAAGCCAGCTTTCTGGACATTTCAACTCCATATTTGAGTGGAGCGGGTTGGTTGCACTTTGACCCGTCTGGTCGGCACAAGCAGACCGTGGAGCAGGGAAATTCAGTCGGTGTTGGAAGCACTTGTGGCCGTAAAGAATAGAATGTATGAAGAAGTAAGCGTAAGGAAGGAGCTCGCCCTCACATTATCAGAAAGAGGGAGGGAGAATTGGAATCACGTGATTTTAGGCAACTTTGGGAAGGTTGGTTACGTCAACGCAAGTTCGTAACACAAGACACCATCGAAGAGCACTAAAAAGCCTTTTATTTTAGTCTATAAACTGCCTTTATATTAATGGTTGCCGTACTGTGATTTATTCGAACAATATATGGCACGTGACCGTGGAGTATCGCCTTTTGTCGGGGAGCGGTGGCAAGCCCCCCGCCTAGGTCCTATTGCAATCACATATCAATTCGGCGACTAGAGTAGGTCTATGAAACGTTTCCATTTTGGACTAATAGCTCCTAGCATATTTTCGCACTACGGACTCCATCGTGACTCCTATCGGCAAATTCGTGGGGGTTACGTCAACGCAAATTCATGACACAAGATGCTATCGACGACCATTAAAATGAATTTGACGGGCAGCCAACTGTTATTGTCTCATTCATATATCTCTGTCCCAGCTCGCTCTCTATCCTCGGCGCCCTTTAGGCTCTCAAAATCTGGTCAGGGTGCGTTGAAGAATCCTTGTTGTGAGCTAGCTAAAATATATATATTCGTTGCTAACACCGAATGAAGATCCAACGAACCCAGATCACAGTGCAAACTCTGAAAGCACCACTTCAGACAAAACAGAAACACCCTCAAAGAACGAGGGCAAGCAACAATCCAAAGCAAAAACCACATCCGAAGCCGACGCCGAGCTCCGCGAACGCCTCGAGCAAATGTCTGGTGAAGGCGGAGCGTCTGGAATCGAATATGAAGATGGAAAGCCGGTAGCTATGAAGCGTGGTGTGCGAAATAATATGTTTCGAGTGATCTAAAGCTATGATCTCGGGCTATGGGATGGGGATATTTGCGCTTCCCAGGCGTGCCACTAGCACCAGGGGTGCGCTACTATCCCCATGACCTGGCCTGTATCCTCATTGAGAGAAGACGAGAGGGAGCTTTACAATATCAGGAGCCAATATAAATGAGACTCAACACTCATCCCAGGACAGTCTTCCATTACAACCCATCCATCCACTACCAAGTATATATCAATATCAAGCCAAGAAATCAACCACATTCTAAATTTGGGAAAGAGAAACGGTGATCAGCACGGAATTATGTACTTACGCGCGTCATATCCCCAGACATTCCGCATGGGATAGGATTAAGCATTCCACGCTTGTAGTATCGCGCAAGCCATTACGCTGTTGGCCTGATAGACGTCCCGGCTTTGGAATCTGGCTACAATGTATGTATGAACGAGTAGAGTTACATGATCATCACGCATTCCCTCTGCAGGGTAGCGAGCGAGCTAGAGTACGTAAAGGAAGATCTTGGCATGGGAGGATATGCGTAGATGTACGTTGTAGTTAACTAGTAGTTACTAGTAAACATGCCAGTGAAATGCTTGCCATCCATGCTCTGACACCCAAGAGAATTCGCCGCAAAGACCAACCAACCACAAATACAACCTTGATGTATCTCATAATGTCCCATTTCTACGCGGTGTACCGGGTCCGGCGCGCGCATAAGATCAGAAAGAGATGTTCCAAGTATGAGCGGCGGCAACCATAGATCACCACGAGAAACAACATGACAGTCAAAAAACGCCCGTAGAAGTCGTAAGAAAAAGCCAAAATTACTTGCGGCCAACCATCCCCGCCAAAACCCCGGCTCCAATGACACCGCCGTCGGAGGCTTCGCGCAGAAACACGGATTTGCCTCCTTGTTGCGGACCGGTGCGCATGATGAGGCGGTCGATGTATTGTTGGCACATTTCTTTAAAGTGCGGGTAATGCTGGATGATACCGCCCGTATACGCAACGACCAGCTCCTCTGGACCAGATTGCCATTCTGCTGGGGTGGGTTCGAGGACCGGGACAACATGCCCGTGAACATTGTTACGGGCGGTAGAGGGGGAGGAGGCAGCGAGACTGGCAGCCGCTGCCACGGGGGCAGGGGTATGGTCACGAGTGTGAGGATCGCCGTTGCTCAGCGGCGAGGCGGCATTCAGCGGGGTGTTGACGTTGCTGTCTTCTTTCAGCTCGATCTCGCGCGCGCAGGCGAGCAAGCCGACCACCGCCGCGGCGATCAAGCCCGCGGATCGGCGCTGCACAGTGCGCGCGATTTTGCGGAATGCGCCGGCGGCGAGAGCGTCCCAGCGCCAGTCGCTGGACTCGGGAGGGGGAGGGACTGGTTCAGCTCCTTGGCGAGATCTTGGTCGGACCGGGCGCGGGCCACGGTGTCGGAGATGTAGGTGGTGGTCAGGGCATATTCTTGAACGAGGTTGGCCGGCAGGATGCGTTTCGACAGTCCGGCGATCGTAGTAAGATAATCAAAGAGGATGAGGCGGATGAGTTCGCCAATGTACCGCCCGCCCGTCATGTACTCGAATGGCTGAAATCCTGGGCGTGTACAGGCCTGGTCGAGTTCAGTATCCCATTTTGTGGTCACTCCGAGCTCTTTGAGCGGCGGCGCCGCGCCGGAGATGGTCCATTCGGTATTCACGATCGTCTCCACGGCATCCGGCTTCATGGCATTCACGCTCTTGGCCTTGTCTTCGTGCAACGCGTCAAGTTTCATCGGGATCGTCGCGTTGCATCCGGTACCCACGATAATACCCATGGCCACGCGGCTGTTGGGTAGGGATTTGACCGCATAGGCGAGGGAAGCGAGTGTGGCGACAGTGTCGTTGGTGATGGCTGCGATCTTGAGTTTGGGCAGAGCAAACAGCTTCCGGCGCTTTTTCGAAGGCTCGTCCTCGTCGTCTGGTCGCCGGGTGTGCTTCTCGTAGCCATTCAGCAGGATCTTGTGCAGATTGAGGTTCGACGTGATGGCGAAACCTTTCCCCATTGGCATCAATGTCGCCTCGGCCAACGACTCTTGCCTAGAAATATCATGAGCAGCCACTTCCCAAATCTTTGGGGACACTCACAAGATGGGGAAACTAAAGGTAATCCCCAAGTCCAACTCTTCGGGGATGTCTTTTTTGGTGGCATCGGAGGAGAGGCTCTCCGCCACGACCTCCGCGATGCAGTCGCCGATCCACGCAAACAGATCCTCCGCCTTGTCCATTTTCAGGTGCTCCTGGATCGGCCATGCCCGCTCCAACGTACGCTTCACGCGCTGGCGCTGGGCCTTGCGAATGGTATCCCGCGACCTCTCCGAGGCATCGGTCGAGCGCACCTCGGACTCGGCCGCCTCGCCCAACAACTCGATAAACGCCACGCGGAGATTACTGCCCCCCACATCGAGCGCCAAGTAGCGACCGGTCTCCTGGCCGGTGGGCAGTTGGGTCACGGGGGTGGGTAAGAACTGCTGGTCGGAGGTCAAGGCCAGCTGGCGATAGGTGGTGGAGAAGCGACGGGCCAGTTTGTAGAGACGGGCTTCCTCCAGCATCAGCGGAGTCAGCATGTCGTCGAGCCGTTCGTGGTGCGCGAGATATTCTTTCTGGGACGCGTCCAGCTCAGGTCCGACATCCTCGTCGTCGTCGATCAGGTCATCCTGCATCGCCTCGCGCTCCTCGTCCTTGTCGGAGGGGATGGAGTTGACCGACGCCATGGTGTGTGGAGATTGGAACTGGCTAGGGGGGAGGGAGAGGGGGGGGGGAAGAGGAAAAAGGTAAAAGTTGAGGCCCTTCCAGTGGCGCCTCTCTTCCCCAGTGACGTCGCTGCGTGTGGAATGCTTGCTATGTTTATAAGAGAAGCGCCATGCCACACATGTTGGGGGTGACGCGGCTGAGAAACCACAGAGCGGGGGAAACACTCCGTCGAGGATCTCGCGTGATTCCAATAACTATTTATAGGGGGCGAGCGAGAGTGTGGCTGGTGAACGGGAAGTGACGGGTGAAATAGTGATGCGACCCGGCAGATGCGACGTGAAGGAGAGCTGTTTCAGCGGCATCCATGTAACCCTACCTGGGCATCGGGCGGCCGCCAGTTCTCGAGCGGTCCTCGACAGCCACAGTAATCAGCCCCCCTCCAGGTCGCTTAGTTTTGAGTTACGAGCAGCTCAATTTGACCCGCTAGGTTGGGCCTCCACGACTCCGACAGGGCCAATGATGATAGGACGATGTATAAGGATCGCCGAGGTCGGAGCGACTAACTACTGCTTATGGATCTAGTTAGACTATAGAGCTTGGCACCTTGGTCACTCGCTCACTAAGTGAACTAGGGAGGGCGTTTAACCGGATTAGTCAGGTCACCCCAGAGCCCGCCATGATCCCCGTAGATCCGTCAACCACCATGGAGAAGCTGCCTGTCCACACCAAGGAGCCGGTCGAGGGGGTGCGCTTGCGGCCGGGACGAGCGACGTTCCTGCGTCGCCTCTTCTGTGTCGTGTGTTTCCTATATGGCTACTACCTGCTGATCCGGCCAGGACGTGACGAATGCGACTTGACCCGCTGCACCGCCTCCAGTGCCCTAGAGAGGATGTTAGGGCCTCAAGCTACAGAGATCAGACACCCTCCTCCTCCTGCGCCTGCTGCTGCGATACAGACCAGCCTCCCACTCGACGATCACATCATCAGCAATGCCCCAAAGCAAAAACCCCTGACACCGTCCGCTGAGGTGCAGACCAAGAAGATTCCCCTCGAGGCACACATCATGAGCAAATGCCCAGATGCCCAAGTCTGTCTGCAAGAGCTGGTTGTGCCAGCCATGGAGAAGATCAGCGACAAGGTGGATTTCCGGCTGTCGATGATTGCAACGTGAGCATGACACCTGCAAACATGACAGATCTATCCTGACGGACTTCCCTAGGGTCTCTGAAAAATCCTCCGATATCGAGTGCATGCATGGCCCACCAGAGTGCATTGGCGATATGCTCATGCTCTGTGCTGCGAACCTGCCTTTCCCTGCAACTGCCGACGACTCCCTCCTGCCGTCTACATACCCTCGGACGCCCATCATCCGATCATTGGGGTTTGCAAACTGTCTGATCAATGACTACGAGCACATACCAGAGCGGGAGCTTGTCCATCAGTGTGCCTTGGAGCATGGGATCGACTTTGATGCTCTGAACCGGTGTGCCAGCCAGCAGAATGACGACCCGAATGATGGGAATGGGGACCCCCCGTCAGTGGGATTGCTTTGTTACGGCAGAGTGCACTACGGGGACAGGAGCTGGGAGTTCGGGTCAGTTGTACCGTGCGTCTAGATGAGAAGGTGTGGTGTGTACATGACTCCGAGTGGAAGGATTGTGCGCAGAATGGTGATGAGCCAGCGGTATTGATAGACGAGGTGGAGAGACTCTACAAAGAGAGGAACTAATTTGAATCGTTATTCTACCTTCTCTGACTAATTGATATTCCCTTTGGTGAATGACTGTTGCTAGACGGGCGCCTACGGGACTTGCCGTTCGGTTATTGCTGTCTTGTTCTTTGTATTCACTGCCCTCCTTCTCTTTCTTCTTCCACCGCACAGCTCGACTGCTCCAACCGCTCCCTCTACAGCCCCTTCGTTTATTCTTATTTCTTCAAACCGAAAACAATCCTTGCTGCTATTCAGGTAAATGCCCTCATCGATGACCACCAGGATCTCAACTGACTACCCACCCACTCTCTAGCCATGGACGAGGAATATGATTACTCTCCCTCGGATACCCAGGCCCTGTTCCTGCTGAGTGCGTACAGCAGCCAGGACCAGCAGCCCACCCCCGCTCTGCGCAAGATCTTTGATGACCCTGACAAGGGATTCCTGATCTTCCAGGCTCTGGAGCGCCAGGCCAAGCTGCTCGCGCGCCGCAAGGAGGCGGCGGCGGGGTCGGAGGACATTGCTGAGCTCTCCATCTACGACAAGGCCCTGATGGCGCTCTACAGCCGCTGCGGCGGTGAGGAGAAGAAGCTCACTGTCCCTGGCTGCTGGGGTCTATTCAATTTCTTCCTTGACCACTTCGTGGGCATCGATCGTCTGGAGCTGCATGAAGCGGCCGATGAGGTTTTGGACCAGTACCTGGAGTTCCAGAAGTCGCTGAAGGCTGGTCCGTTGGCCCGTATTTCTTTCTTACACAGAGGCTAATCTAGAATAGATCAGTCTCCTCCCTCGGTGAAGCTGGCCGTGAAGGATGCTCAGAATGACGTTCAGAAGACCCAGAGCGCTTGCTTCAACCGTATGATCGATGTTTACCAGGTTGCCAAGTTGGATTGCTACCTCACTGATGCGAACAAGAACCGTGACAAGTTCCAGGTTGTCCGCTTTCTCCGTGACACCGCCGAGAACCTGCTCACCCAGATGCTCCATGCTGGGTACGGAAACCACCCGCTGGTGCCTGAGCTGCGCCAGGTCTATGAGGTGAGCAAGTCCCACGCCGAGCAGCTGTCGGGCGGTCGCAAGCGCCCCTTTGAGATCGAGCACTTGCCCTCGTACTCTGACGTTCACCCGACTGGTGGCTATTCGTCTGCTGGATACCCAACTGGCGGCGTTCCTTCTGGTGGCATTCCTTCTAGCGTTTACGCCGCTGCTGCCCTCCCTTCCAGTGGCTCCCCTGCCGCCGGCTATCCTTCTGGTGCTGGCTACTCTGCGGCTGCTGGCCACAAGAACCGGCGTTTCATCGATTCTTACCGTCCTGCGCGTGAGTAAGGAGACCCGCTCGACACACTCTCTGACGTTTGATGCTTTGTACTTCACTTGGGGATTGTTTTCTAGGAGTAGCCATGTTGCAGGATTGCGTTTAGGACTTGCCATGGCGCAGGAGTTTTTGAATGTACAATAGCAAAGCCGGCTGATCTGAATGAAATGAACATTGAAGCAACAATCTTTCTGTTTTCTCTTCCCTTATCTACCTTGAAGTGGTTAGCGCGTACTCCATTCTCCATCTGATACTGGACCACCCCCCACGGTGCCACATTAGCTAAGCATCAGGGGAACAGCTGATCGGGAAATTATCAACTCCTCTTTTTCTCTGTGGCGCAAACGCGGAGAGAAGAGAGCGAGGGCAAGACGACATGCTTGACGAACAAACATGACCTCTCTCCACCTGCCCCCGTCTCCTACTCTAGGGGCCACATCCTCCTCCAGTTCCTCCAACCCCCGATACACCCCCGTCTCAAACGGCTCCGATGAGACCGACCCGTCAGCCTCCCAGCAGATGAGGGCCCCCCCTCGGCCCACTGCGCCTACAGACGAATTTCGATATCGCTGAACCGGGTAGCCATGTCTCAGATGTGGATTATCCGGGGGACTCTGGGTCTTACCCGGGCGAGCACAAGATGCCCCGCGTGAGTGCGGCGCCGAAATACACCGTTGCGGAGGAGAAGGAGGTGGTGGGACTCTTCGATCGGAAGCTGGTTCCTTTTCTGGCGCTGCTCTACTTGCTCTCTTTCTTGGATCGCTCCAGTGAGTCTACCCATCTTTGTTCTGCGGGGTGCGATACGCTAATGTTCGTATTCGTACCGCAGATATCGGGAATGCAAAGATCGCCGGCCTAGATCACGACCTGCACCTTTCCTCGTCGCAGTATGAATGGGTCCTGACGGCGTTCTACATCACATACATTCTCTTTGAATGGATGACGCTGTTGTACCGCGTCGTCCCACCGCATATCTACATCTCCCTTTGTGTCTGTGGCTGGGGACTGACTGCATCTTTCCAATGTCTGGTCACCTCGTTCGGCGGGCTATTTGTGCTGCGCGCATTACTAGGCATCACGGAAGCGGCGTTTGGTCCCGGCGTCCCATTCTATCTCTCCCTGTTTTATCGCAGAGAAGAATTGGCTTTCCGCAATGGACTGTTCATTTCAGCGGCGCCACTGGCTACCTCCTTTGCGAGTAGTCTCGCCTGGCTAATCGTCAAACTGAGCAGCAATGGCCCTATTTCTCCGTGGCGCATCCTGTTTTTGCTCGAAGGGTTTCCCAGTGTCATCGTTGCGGTCTTTGCCTGGGGCTTGATCCCTGACTCTCCCGGTCGCGCTCGTTTTCTTACTCGGAGGCAAAGAACCGTGGCTCAGTTGCGCCTTGGAGAGAGTAGGGATGAGTTCCAGGGCCCGCAGACAGGGTTTGATTGGCAAGCAGTTGGGAAGACCCTGGCGGATCCCAAGGCCTACATCACTGCCGTAAGTGGGTTGATATTTCCCCAAAAACGCTTGGCTAAACTCTTGCATGCAGTTCATGTTTTTCAGCTGTAATGTCGCCTTCAGCTCGATGCCGGTGTTTCTGCCCACCATCATTAGACAGTAAGCTTCTTCTCCAGTCGCAACCTCCAACACAAAGTACTGATTTCTCCCCTATAGTATGGGCTACTCCTCTCTCACAGCGCAAGCACTCTCCGCACCACCCTACCTGGTGGCCTTCATTGTAGTCCTCATCACGGCATACGTCTCGGACCGCAGCCAGTCCCGCAGCTTCTACCTCATCTTGCACGCCCTCATCTCCTCAGCATCCTACCTTGTCATTGCATTAACAGGGGCCTTGCACTCTTACATGCCCATAAGCCTGCACACCACCATCCGGTACATCTGCGTCTACCCAGCCGTGTCAGGCTTCTTCTCCGCCATCACTCTAATCATCACCTGGACGATGGACAACCGCACCGAGAAAGAGGGCAAAGGTGCCAGCATCGCCATCCTCAACATCATCGGCCAGTGCGGGCCTCTCATCGGCACGCATCTATACCCGGGCTCCGATGGGCCATGGTATGTCCCCGGCATGGCGGTGTGTTCGTTCTTCATGGTCGTTGTCGCCATCTTGGCTATTATATTGCGGGTTATCCTGAAGAAGCAGAATCGGATCTTGCAGTTGAAGTACGAGGCTAGTCATCATGTCAATGGTGGGCCTGCTGATGATGAGGACGAGGAGCGGGATGGGCTCATGGGTGGGGGGAGGAGAGAGGATCTAGAGCCTAGTACTGGCGAGAAGAATTATCTCTTTCTTATATGATGTGATGTCGTTTGTGCTCTTTACAGTTTTGATGTACAGTATACAATCTCGGACTTGCCATTTGAGTTGAATTTCGCTATTTCGTTTCAAAGTTTCCTGCCGAACTTCTTTGCAATGTAGGGTGTAGGGGACGTAGAAGCCGGAGATCGTGTCCTAGGGCCTACATCTAGTAGATCAATTGTATGAAAGGTTGGATCAATGATTTTGTTCATTAAAATTGTGAATGTCTTCACTATAGTCTATAATTAAAGAACCTGTACATATAGAAGAGTACCGGGGGTGGGAGAACCCGGACTGGGGCAAAATGGGCGGCGTGGATGACCTCATATAGAGTGTTCGTAACTTCTCTTTTCCAATCCAGGGACGAGGTCGAGTGCTTCGCGCTTGGCCATTGAGCTCTCTCGATGGGGGCGCCTCATTTGTGTATGTGCATGTAGACATGTACAGTAAGAGCGTCTTCGTTTTTCCTTTCAACCCCGGACGCGGCACCTTTTTGTTTTCGTGTCGTTGCATTTCATTCTGTTCATGACGGTCAAGACGCTTACCACGCGGTGTGGCCACCGTCGATGACCATGGTGCTGCCGGTCATGAAGCTGCTGGCGTCGGAGAGGGAGAAGAGGGCCGCGCCGCGGAACTCCTCTGGCATAGCAAGACGGCCAAGCATGTTCTCAGCCTCCCAGGTCGCGCGGGCCGCGGGATTCTGCTGGAAGACATCCTCGACCATGGGGGTGATGATGTGGCCCGGGCAGAGCGAGTTGACCCGGATGCCGTGGCGGCCCCATTCCATAGCGAGCGAGCGGGCCAGCTGGATGACAGCAGCCTTGGAGGAGTTGTAGACGGGCGAGGTCATGCCCTTGTTGGCGATGAGGCCGCTCATGGAAGCCACGAGCAGGATCGAGCCCTTCTGCTGGTAGTTGAACATCTGGCGGGCGGCCGCGGTGGCCGAGTTGAACACGCCGTTGTAGTTGATGCTCATCACGTCGTCCAGGGCTTGCTGGGAGTGCTCCAGCGCGCTCTGCAGGTGGTTGATGCCCGCCGCGGCGATCAGGCCGTCCAGGCGCTCGTTCTGAGCGGCAATCGCTGCAAAGGTGTCGTTGACTTCTGTCACATTGCGCACGTCGATGCGAATGTATTCCAGTGTGCCGCCGTACTCGCTGGCAGCGCGCTCCTTGGCCGTGAAGAATTCGGCGGGGGGAGACTCGAGGCGGTCCAGGCAGTAGACTGTGGGGTTTTCTGATTAGCTATTTGCTTCATTGAAGGTCATACTTGGACTACACACCCTTTGCGCCCGCTTCAATCAGGGCCTCGGCCATCGACAATCCCAATCCACGGCCGCCACCGGTGATGGCGTACACGCGGTCCTCCATATCAAACTCGCGGAAGCGGTTGGCGTTGCGCAGGTACTTCTTGGGCGGCAGCTTTGACTGGATGTGGTCGGGGTTGTGCGAGATATTCTGAATGTCATGGGGGTTGTATGCGCTCTTGGTGGAGGAGTAGAGACGAGTCGACGTCGAAGATAGAACTCGCGGCGCAGTGATAGCCGCACTGGCGAAGCGTGGCCGCGCAGCGGCCATGACACGGGGGAGGGAGAAGGACATTTTTGGTATTATTAAGGTGGTGGTAGTAGAGGGGAGAGGGTCGTATGTATAGGTGCAATTAGGGCTAGATGCAAATGGATGATGGACGGGGAAGATAAAAACACGACAATACTTTCTTTCCTTCTCATCCCCAGTCGGGGAGCGAGGGTTTATATGTGCCAGACGGACAGACAGAACGGTACTTCCCTGGACAGCTTCCCGGAAAATCTCCCCAAAAATCTCACGATAGTCTCTAGCGATGGAAAGGGGCCCGGCCACATTGGCCAGGTGACCCGCGAGGTGGATTCGCCCGCTGCTGCTTTCACCATGACTCAAGACCCAGATCGCAGCAATGGACGGGTCGCTTGCCACCTGGGGCAAGAGCTTGGGGCAACATCGTGATTGTTCTGGGCCGAAGACGGTAAAATCGGACGATCCGCTCGATGGATCCTGCGGAATGGCCCACCGTGTAGGTAGTACATACATCCCTGGCTACAACCGATAACTGCGACATGATTATGCATTTCGGCCCTGTATCGCCTGTCCGACACCCAATGAGAGCCGACAATCCGAGCAGGACGAGATAGAGCAGTCGAACTAAGTATGCACGACCAGCTGTCCCTGGACCGCAGAGATTTACCTAGTGCCAATCACTTCAGGTCGGTAGCAGCATCCTCCAATGACGGTCTCGGCATCGCGAGTGGTGGTGTAATCCACCCTCCCCACCGACCAAGGAAAAAAAACTCTGAAGGATCGGGGGATCAGGTCAGTTGACTCTACCTATCCTTCCTTGCCCCGACGATCCCTGGGTCCCGCCGTCCCCGGATTATTTTTGGCAAAAGAATGGGAGCTCCGGGATGTCCTGATTAGGCAATTCTGCTTTCACCGCTGTCTCATCCACGGAGCTATGCACCCCCGCCAGGGGCACTACCTTTTCCTTTTTCTTTTCTTGTTTTTGAACAGGGAGAAACAAGAGGTAGCAAGCTTACGCTTCGTTGGTCAAAAAATCAAGTCTTGCTCAATTCTAAGTTCTACCATACTTGTTCTGCAATGAAGCTTCCGCCACCCTCCGGCCCCGGGGTATGCACACGCGGATCCACAATAGAGGCACGTACCCCAAGCTACCGTAGCCACCTTAACGTTAACTACTAGTGCTTGGCCGAGCCTCGAACGCCTCTTCTCGTGCCACGCCCAGCCCCGCCTAGCCCCGCCCCGCCCGACGACAGGGATTGTCGAAGGAATCGACGCGGATCTCGAACGCGCTGGAAAGATTGCGTACGCACCGTGCGCTGGTCATCTGGACTGGTGGATGCAAGATAAGGCAATTTCTGTGAATAACATGATCCGCAGGGCTCCAGAGATCGGCTCCCACCTGACACTGTATACACAGTACATCCTTCAGGCCGTGGGGGTCATCGGGGAAAAAAAGGAGGAAAGTCAATTGCGTGGCCTTAATTGCTGCCAATGATTGTTCGGTTTTTGGAAAAGCAGAACACATCGTCCATCCCAATAAGCGCCGACTCTGACAAAGAACCCCTCAGTTGCAAATGATGATCCGTGCGACCCATCTAGAACTACCTTCCCGGGCCGTCCATTTCGGGATAAAACGCCTATACCGCTGCTAAAAATTTCTTTATGCAAACCCCGCTGCGGCCGTTTCAGGGACCAGGTCGCGGCGTCCGCGGCCAAAATCCAGTTTCATCAACAACCGATCCACGCCTGCCGGCTTGCGCGGCTCATAGTGACAGAAGTTCGCCCCGGGACCGGACAGGTGCACGGTGCGTCGGCCAGCCCCCGAGCGGCTGTCGTCGATGTCTTGCAATCTTGCGACGAGGTCCTGGAGTCCGGTCTCGGCGGCGGTGCGAGTAGTCCGCAACTCGTGCCAAACTTCGCGCTCTTCTTGGCCGTAGTCCACCAGTGCGTCCACGACTCCTTCGTCCATCTCCAGATCCATGTTGCGTTGGATAGTCTCCAGGCGGATGGCGAGCGCGACAAACCGGTCGATGCTGGTCAGCAGTGCGCGCAGGGTCGTGGTGAAGGGTACCTCAGTCAGGAACAGGGACTCGACCAGAGAAAACAAATGGCGACGGTGCGCGACGGTAAGTGCTTCGGGATCATGACGGCCCATGGACGGCGGCGCAGATTTGGAGGACGATGCTGTTCCAGGTCGGGAACCAGATGGTGATGCAGACGAATCCCCCTCAATCCACTCACGCAGATGTTGCCAGGACTCGTTCACCACCTCGCCTTGAAAGAAACTGCCAATCTCTGATAGCACAAACAGACAGGCGCTGCACGTAGCCCACACGGGTCGCATCTGTCGGATACGGGCATTATCCCGCTCACGGCTCATCTTCAGTTTGCTTTGGCCAAAAGCACTGTTGCTTCGTGGGGGACCCCATGGAGAAGGATGGTTTCTTCGCAATGACGTGCGCTTCCATAGATCCCCAAGACGGATCTGGGCTCGGCGGATGCTCAGTAGGTAAGAATGGATTTTGGAGTAGATAGCAATATCGGAAGTGGAGAGAAACAAATCCAGCGGGGCGCGTACTTGAGCTGTTAGGTACGTAGGTGTAGGGAAGAGTAGATCTTCAAAAGAGACCCGAGAGATCTCTGTCACGGAACTGGGTCCTTGCGACGGGGTCATCGCACGCCCGCTTTTTCGGTCACTGATTGAGAGTCGAAGGAGATTTCGTGCAAGATCCAGCTGCTCATCAGCCGGGTCTTCTTCATTCTGCAATGAAACTAGCTCTGCCCACACTTGGGCCAGAGCAGTTATCACATCTCCTTCTTTGATACTAAGCCCCTCAAGCTCTCTGCCTGGAGCTGGTCGTCGTCGATGATTTTCTTCTATGCGAGCATCTGCATGCGACACCAGAGCGACTGCAAATTCGCCGCGTCCCAGGAGAAGAAAGTCATGCAGCAAAGTAAGGATTTCGAGGATCCGGGGAAGCGGAAGGAGCTTCGATAATGTCGACTGAGACAGAGAAAGACGAATCCAGTCAACCGCGGTCGACAGCTTTGCAGATGAGATCGGCGACTTCAAGCCGGCCAGCTGCTCGATGTGCTCTTGATGCAGAGTGACCGGTGCAGTCGACACACCGGTAGCGGAGATCTTCCGTTTCGCGCGAATGTGATTCAATGACTTCCCAATGAACAGAATCGAGGCTGCCGTTTGAGGTGGCACGAATTTCGGGATCAAGTCGGTATGCATGCTGAACTGCGTCTCGTCGTCCTTGCCTTCGACATCCTCCTGTATTAAAAAGTCTTCCTTGCCATACATGGGCAGATTCCCGTATAAGAGCCACATTGACAGCTGCTTCATCCACGCCGTCTCCGCTGCGGTCACCAACTGTACCGCCATCTCTTTGATATCGAGATATCCCGTTTGTAATTCGGCCCGCAGATTATCGATAAGTGCTGCACCGCTGCAGCCAATTTTCTTGTTTTCTGGCTGAATGAACCGAGCAATCTCCCACAGCCATTCCATGCGCCGCGTCCACGGTGCAAATTCTCCGACTATGGTCGACAATGGCACAATCCCGTAGCCCCCAACGTATCCGCTATCCTCCGTGAGAATCGCCTTCTCCACATCCAGGATCTTCTTTTGGAACTCGCCTAGGTGGACTGTGGCAATAGTCGTAGAGACGGAGCGACATACGACCGAGGGATGCGATGACGATATAGCAGAGGTTTGTGTCTGGAGCTGCGCGTGGAGACGGCTCAGATGGGCAATTGATGCGAGGAGGGCTTTCTCCGGAGGTGAGAGAAGGGGGAAATCGTCTTGAGCCACGGCATCTTTGCCCTTTTCCGCGTTGAAGAGGGGAGACGGCTGGCCGAACAGGGAGAGGAGGATCTCGTGGAGCATGCTGGCTGAGTGTTTCTACTGGAGAGCCGGCTCCTGTCGAGAGATGAATCCCGACGTTGCCAGTACAGTAATCCACTGCCCAAGATCTCGAAGCGGCACATGAGATCGATTATCGATGGACCTATCCGAGGTTTGGTATGACGCGATAAATACCCGACAGTCAGACCAGAAGCACACTAAATGTGCCTGGAGGGGCGATCACATCAGGCTGGCACGACGCGCAGTGAGCAAATGAATGATGAAAGCGCGATGATTCGATCGCGGGGCGGGGCTTAGTCAGACTGGAGCTTGTCCCTCTTACGTCGTCGCTGGTTTGTTCTTCTTTCTTCCTCCCTCCCTCCCTTGCCTTCCTTCAACCTCTTTCACATTTTGCCATCCCTTTGTCCTGTACAGTATAGGTACATTGTGTCCGGTTGCGATTTAGAGTTTCTACTTGCCTCTCCTCGTCCTAGCAAGGTGCCTGGTACGCTGGAAGTTGTATCCCGTTCTATCACTGCCGAAAGTCTTGCTCCCTAGCAAGGCTTTCACCCTCTGATTGTCACCATTCCTTCCGATCTTGCTGTTCGTGAAGAGTCTAAGCCGGGAAAGCGCAGACTATCGGACGACGCCACAGCTCGGCCGGAGAAGAAGATCATGACCGTTCGTCGAGTCACCCTCTCGGAAAAGATTGAATTGCGACTAACACACTCTGCCGCAGGACCTCGGCAAGATGCAGGTGGATAACCCACAGAAGACTGTGGAGATGATCAAGCATGGGGAGATTGACGAGTCTCTGTACAGCCGACAACTGTGAGTGTTGATTTGGATGCCTTGGTTGCTCCACTCTCTGACAATTTCATCGTAGGTACGTGCTTGGTCATGAAGCTATGAAGCGCATGGGCTCTTCGAATGTCCTGGTCGTGGGTCTGAAGGGTCTGGGTGTGGAAATCGGTAAGTGGCGCTCCTTGATTCCTGATTTCAAAGCATGCGAAGAGACCAACGAACCGTCACTTTAGCCAAGAATATTGCCCTCGCCGGTGTCAAGTCCCTTACCCTTTACGATCCTGCTCCCGTCGCTATTTCAGATTTGTCCTCGCAGTTCTTCCTTCAGCCTCAGGATGTCGGCAAACCTCGCGCCGACGTCACCGCTCCACGAGTTGCCGAGCTGAACTCCTACGTTCCAGTGACGATCCATGAAGGCGGGAACCTTGCGGGTGACCTGGAGCAGCTGAAGCGGTATCAAGCGGTGGTGCTGACGCAGACACCATTGAAGGAACAACTGGCGATCGCGGACTTCTGCCACAAACATGGCATTTTCCTCACGATTACGGATACCTTTGGCCTTTTCGGTTACATCTTCAATGACTTCGGCAAGAACTTCACTGTCGGTGACCCTACAGGCGAGGAACCTGTCAGTGGAATTGTGGCCGACATTGATGAGACCGGCCTGGTATCCGCGCTGGACGAGACCCGGCACGGGTTGGAAGATGGAGATTTTGTGACTTTTACGGAAGTCAAGGGTATGGACGGCTTGAATGGCAGCGCGCCTCGCAAAGTTACTGTCAAGGGTCCTTACACCTTCACTATCGGTGATGTTTCGGACCTGGGCTCGTACCAGGGCGGTGGTATCTATACACAAGTCAAGATGCCCAAGTTCATTGATTTCCAGCCTCTCGCGGAGCAGCTGAAGAAGCCCGAGTTTTTGATTTCCGATTTCGCCAAGTTTGACCGACCACAACAGCTGCATATCGGTATCCAGGCTCTTCACAAATTCGCGGAGACCCATGATCGTCAGTTGCCTCGTCCGCACAATGACAGCGACGCGCAGGAAATCCTCAAGATTGCCAATGATCTTGCTGCGGCGGAAGAAGAGAAGGTCGAGTTGGACGAGAAGTTGATCAAGGAGCTCAGCTACCAGGCTCGGGGTGATCTGAACCCCTTGGCTGCTTTCTTCGGAGGTATTGCTGCCCAGGAGGTCCTCAAGGCCGTCTCCGGAAAGTTCAACCCCGTCCACCAGTGGATGTACTTCGATTCTCTGGAGTCTCTACCTTCGTCGACCACTCGGTCCGAAGAAAGCTGCAAGCCCCTTGGCACTCGTTACGATGGACAGATTGCAGTCTTTGGTAAGGAGTTCCAGGACAAGATCGCCAACGTCACCCAGTTCCTGGTCGGCGCCGGTGCTATCGGCTGCGAAACCCTGAAGAATTGGGCCATGATCGGTCTGGGCACCGGCCCGAAAGGAAAGATCTATGTGACAGATATGGACCAAATCGAAAAGAGCAATCTGAACCGGCAGTTCCTCTTCCGATCGAAGGATGTGGGCAGACTCAAGAGTGACTGTGCCTCTGCTGCCGTTAAGGCCATGAACCCTGAATTGAACGATAAGATTGTGACTCTCCGTGACCGCGTTGGTCCTGACACCGAGCACATTTTCAACGAGGAATTCTGGAACGGACTGGATGGAGTTACCAACGCGTTGGACAACGTCGATGCGCGGACGTATGTCGATCGCCGCTGTGTCTTCTTCCGCAAGCCGCTACTGGAGAGTGGCACGCTTGGCACCAAGGGCAACACCCAGGTTGTACTTCCTTTCATCACCGAGTCTTACTCGAGCTCTCAAGACCCCCCAGAGAAGTCGTTCCCCATGTGTACCCTGAAGAGTTTCCCCAACCGCATTGAACACACCATTGCCTGGGCGCGCGACCTCTTCCAGACGCTCTTTGTGGGTCCGCCGGAGGCGGTCAACCTGTATCTCTCGCAGCCTGATTATATCGAGCAGACGCTCAAGCAGGCTGGCAATGAGAAGCAGACTCTGGAACACTTGCGGGATTTCTTGGTTACTGAAAAGCCGCTGACCTTTGATGACTGCATCGTGTGGGCCCGGCAGCAGTTCGAGTCGCAGTACAACAATGCGATCCAGCAGCTGCTCTACAACTTCCCTCGGGACTCGCATACTTCATCTGGTCAGCCGTTCTGGTCTGGACCCAAGCGTGCGCCGACACCGTTGAAGTTTGACAGCGAAAACCCCACGCATCTCGGATTTGTCATTGCAGGCGCCAATCTTCATGCCTTTAACTACGGTATCAAAAACCCTGGCGCGGACAAGGGTTACTACCGAAAGGTTGTCGACGACATGATCATCCCCGAGTTCACGCCGAGCTCCAACGTCAAGATTCAGGCCGACGACAACGAGCCTGATCCCAACGCGCAGCCCGCTGGAGGCTCGAATGACAGCGACGAGATTCAGAAACTAGTGGCCACTCTCCCGTCTCCGAAGTCTCTGGCAGGTTTCCGCCTGCATCCCGTTGAATTCGAGAAGGACGATGACACCAACCACCACATCGACTTCATCACTGCGGCAAGCAACCTCCGTGCCGACAACTACGAGATCCCGCAGGCGGACCGGCACAAGACCAAGTTTATTGCCGGAAAGATTATCCCGGCTATTGCCACTGCCACCGCTCTTGTCACCGGACTTGTGGCCTTGGAGTTTTTCAAGATCATTGATGGCAAGGACGATATTGAACAATACAAGAACGGCTTCATCAACATTGCGCTTCCATTCTTCGGCTTCAGTGAACCGATTGCAAGCCCCAAGGGCAAGTACATGGGCAAGAAGGGTGAGGTCAGCATCGACCGGCTCTGGGACCGGTTCGAGGTGGACGATATCCCCCTGCAAGAGTTCCTCGACTGGTTCGCTGAGAAGGGTTTGGACATCACCATGGTCAGCTCTGGCGTCAGCTTGTTGTATGCAAGCTTCTATCCTCCGTCGAAGGTGAAGGATCGCCTTCCTCTGCCGTAAGTTTCCCTTCATTTATGCCGACCTCCGATGAAAGCTAACAAAGACACAGGATGAGCAAGCTTGTCGCGCACGTCAGCAAGAAGCCGGTGCCCGAACACCAGAAAAATATCATATTCGAGGTGACCGCCGAGGACCAGACGGAGGAGGATGTGGAGATTCCGTACGTGATGGTCAAGCTCTCCAACTGAGCGTGATCAGACCGTACACGTACAGCCACTAGCTCGTAGGTAGATTTACGATATGATTATGTCTAGATTTCCAATGCAAATGCTTCTGCTTTGTCACGCATCAGTCAGCATCTCGTAACGTCATCGGCCCCGCGACTTAAACACCTCACGTATCTTTTCAACTGGTGAAGACATAAGACCTCGTCTTCTGCCTTGTATGTTCTGCATCCTCTTGCGCTCCCAGGCGTTGCACCATATCCCCCATACTCAAGTTCTGCGCGCGGGGCACTATCCCAGAGCTCTACCAAGCTCCATTTTCGGCTCGTTAGCTCGTCCAGCTCGAAAAATGGCGGTAAGAAGAGCCATTCACTACCGAGACCTTGGTAAATCGCTTCTGACACGCCGTTTAGACAGGAAACCCCAACAAGATCACCGACTGGGTCAATCCCAACGACAAGTCCGGCGAGTTCAAGCGTCAGCAGTCCGTCTTCCGGAACTGGATCTCACGCGAGCCCGGTGCCCAATTCCCTCCGGAGAAGGACCGCTATCACCTCTATGTGTCTTATGCTTGTCCATGGGGTGAGAATTGCTTAGAGACCTCTCATGTCTAGATTGTGTTACTAAGACGTTGCAGCTCACCGGACCTTGATTACGCGGAGCCTGAAGGGATTGGAGGATATCATTTCTTTCTCGTCGGTGCATTGGCACCTCGGAGAAAATGGTTTGTCTTATTTTTGTCTGTCCTAGAGAGCACGAAAATGCTAAGTCGGCGCTCAGGCTGGCGCTTCGCCACTTCCGACGAGAAACTGCCCGGCAAGAACACCATTCCCGATCCCTTGCACCCGCAGTTCACTCATCTGCGCGAGATCTACTTCTCCAATGACCCGGAGTACAAGGGTCGATTCACGGTTCCGGTTCTGTATGACAAGAAAAACAAGCTGATCGTCAGCAACGAGGTACGTCTACTTGAATTGTGCCACTATGTTCATGTGTTAACTGAAAAAAGAGCGCCGAGATCATCCGCATGCTCTATTATGAATTCGACGACCTCTTACCGGAGCAATACAAAAAGGTCGATCTGTTCCCCAAAGCACTGCGCAGCGAGATCGACGCCACAAATGAATGGATCTACAACGACGTCAACAACGGCGTGTATAAATCCGGCTTCGCAACCACGCAAGAGGCATACGAGAATGCGGTAACGACGCTCTTCTCCTCGCTCGACCGCATCGAAACGCATCTCGCCAAGAAACTCTCTTCCGGCGGCGCACCTTATTATTTCGGTGACAGCATCACCGAAGCGGATATCCGCCTCTACACGACCATCATCCGCTTCGACCCGGTCTACGTGCAGCACTTCAAGTGCAACATCCGTGATATCCGCTCTGGATTCCCCGCCATCCATCGATGGGTGCGCCATCTCTACTGGGAGGTGCCTGCTTTCCATGAGACGACGGATTTCGAGCATATCAAGAAGCACTATACCAAGTCCCACAAGCAGATTAACCAGTTTAGTATCACGCCCGTTGGACCGGTGCCGGATATTTTGCCCCAGGATGAGGAGGTGCGGGCTGTTAAGGCGGGCTGATGGATTGAGGTTTCACTGTAATGGTTAGGCAGAATCTATATTCAAAGTAAAATGGTGTAGCTTGGGCCTCCCAGTTGTTCTGTGGCGAAATTCTATCCAGCGTGCAGTAAGAATGTATGAGTGGCGGTCAAAGACCGGGCCGACGAGAATCACGCGTGCCATACCGACCACGAGTGAGCCGAGACTTGTAATGAGGAGAATGGATCAGGGCGTAGTGGATCATTGACACAGTAACTCATAATAAGAATAATATTCGACAACAAAATCCGTCCAAAGGTGATACCCCTGCGAACACATCACATGACTATTCGAGCACGTGACACATCCCCGCGTTCATGCGGCTCTCTTTCGATGCCGGGACTCTTGACTTTGTCATCACCTCTCGCGCAAGTCCATCCTGACATCTCTCACGATGGCCACGCAGTCCTACTATGAGCTCTACCGTGGGAGCAGGTAAGCCTCCCACACAAGCTGCCCAATCAGGGCAGGATGACCGAGAAACCCAACTGAACCACTTCAACCTAGTCTCGGCCTGTCGCTGACCGACACGCTGGACGACCTCATCAACGAAGGCCGCATCGAGCCCCAGCTCGCCATGAAGATCCTCTCCACCTTTGACCGGGTTGTCACCGAGGTGCTAGCGGATAAAGTCCGCGCTCGGCTTACCTTCAAGGTGAGTCCCTTCCCTGTCTGCTGCTGGTCTTGATTCCTGGTTGGAATGAAACTGACTGTTTGGTTACTAGGGCCACCTTGATACATACCGATTCTGCGACGATGTCTGGACCTTCCTCATCAAGGATGTGACCTTCAAACTGGATAATCAGCAAGCCGTGCAGGCGGATAAGGTGAAGATCGTGAGCTGCAACAGCAAGCGGCCTGGAGAGGTATGAACGGGGGTTCTTTTTCTCGAGCAAAACCATCGGCGTTATCATTCCTCGGAAGGTTGCATGGCGTTATTTTCTACCAGGGGTCTTTTTCTTCGATTCTGAACCCGCCACAGACCATGCCGTTTGAGGGCATTTCAAATCGTGTATTCTCTGCAAATTTTCTGGTTACAACAGCAAATACCCAGTATGGAGGATCATATAAGTCTTGATATCTTTCAGGTCTCTGTGTAGACTGCTAGTCTTGAGTAATATAGGTAGTCTGGGTTACGGACACGGGGATCGTTCGAAACCCACTAGTCGCAAAGATAGAACGCAACTCCTAATATTCGAGGCGTCTGAACTCCGTACGGCAGCTCTCCCTCTAGTATCCTGTCAGTTTTAAAGCGCAAGTTGAATGGAAGCAAATTTGATCCTTTACTTGATATGCAAAGCCGGCCGGGGGTGGTGGGTCTACATCCGAGGGCTACTTTGACCCCTCTTAGACGGCTCTGGTGTGCCGGAGCGGAGTTGGAGCATTTCAGTGTCACACCTTGTGGACTCTGGATCTGTCTGCTTGTTCTTTTATCTGCCATACTACCCAAGATGAACTTTTATCCACCCCCCGAAGTGATCACAGCAGGGATCTACTATAACCTCCCTTCTTCGCTTCGGCGCCAGGAATCTACAGAATGGGCCCAAGGATTTCCACACAAGTTGGACGGTGTCTTTCTCGAGGGACCAGTAGTCAACCAACAAGGCGATGTTTTTGTTGTCGACATACCGTTTGGTCGCATCTTGAAGATCGACTCGAATAAGAATGCCGAGACGTGCGCTGAGTGGGACGGCGAGCCCAATGGTCTTGCAATAATGCATGACGGAAGAATCGTCGTGGCAGATTATAAAGAGGTGAGTTGGTTCTAACGAGCTCGAGTTTCACACATTGCTGACTTGGTTCAGGGACTGCTTTTATTTGACCCCGCTGATAATAGCGTCGTTCCGTACCTGACTCGACGGAATCTTGAGCGATTCAAAGGGGTCAATGACCTGATTGTAGACTCTAAAGGCAACATCTACTTTACGGATCAGGGTAGGACCGGAATGACCGATCCAACTGGAAAGGTTTACCGATATACCGTGGACAAAAAGCTGGACTGTCTTGTGGACAATGGCCCATCTCCCAATGGGCTTGTACTCTCAGTGGATGAGAAGACGTTGTATGTGGCTATGACTCGGGCAAACCAAGTCTGGCAGCTTCCGCTCCATGAGGATGGAACAACAACCAAAGCCGGGGTGTTTTTCCAGGGCTTTGGATCCGTGGGGCCAGATGGGTTAACCATCGACCAGCAAGGAAACTTGTTTGTCTGTGTACCAGGACTGGGAAGAGTATTTGTGGTTGACAAATATGGAATTCCCTTGAAAAGTATCCAAAGTCCCATTCCGAACGCATTTATCACCAACTGCACATTTGGTGGAGAGGATAATCAAGAATTGTTCATGACGGACAGCGTTAATGGAGCGATTCTCAAGGTGGATTGGCACTGCCCGGGTGCAAAGTCTTTCATCCCAAAGTCTAGATAATTCTTCTTCAGAATTTTCAGGCAATTGCAAATGATTTATTACATTATTATTGCCTGTCTGATTCACCTAATCCTGTCCACCTTACAGCCCGCGCCTCGCCCGGGGTGGACTGACCTACCTTCTGTAGTCCCCATAGGTATTAGGTTTCAAGTCGCGTCTGTTATTGCCTTCCATGTCGAAAACATTAAGACGCTCTTTCAAACCCCAATCGCATGATACACTAAACCCAATGTAAATTGTGTGTAGGTGTGTGTACTAGTCATGCTGAGGGGACTCTTGCAGTTGATCATGTAATTCGAAGCTAACAATAGCGCCATTGCGTAAGATTCTATAGCACCCTAACACCGCGCCCTGCCCCGGAGTTGGGGGTGGGGGGTTTCTTATCGCTCCACTGACGGGAACTATCGTCCCTTCCCGTCACTTGGTCGCAACCACCACCTCTAGCAACCCCATCTGATGTGACCGCAGCATGCCAAGGACACTGCCCTGGCTGATCGGCCAGCATGACACTGGTCTGGTGAAGCCAGAATCGACGCCGCGGAAGCGCATCAAAGCGGAGCCGGCTCCGGATCACGATCAGACTCCCAAGAACCCACCATCCTCGCCTGACAAGAGGAACTTTCTCAGATCATGTAGGGTGAACCGGGAATTTTACTCATCGTGAGCTGATATCATTCTCTCCCGCAGCTCAAACCCCGCCTACGTCTCCGATCAAGCGATGCCCGTCCGAAGAGTGCGTTCGCAGCCCTGCATGTGCTACCGGTTATAGACAATCCACTAACGAGAAACGCAGATTCTTGATCGAAGGCCTAGATAAAGACGACGCTTGGATTATGGTCGAGGATGAATTCTATGCCGTCGCCCAGACATTCACTCAACACTTACATTACGCGGAGTACGTTCGGCGGACGAAGGAAGCAAAGGCTCGGAACGCGGCAAGTTTAGGGGAATTGGACAGACCCACGGATGGTCGAACAGCGCTACCAAAGAATGTCCAACGAAAGCATGAAGCCGAGGAGCTTGCAGCACGTCAGAAGTCCGGGCTGGGACAAGTATTAGGGGAGAATGCCGACGAGAACGAGGATACAGATGAAGAGAAGATGTGGGCTGGGACTCATCTCCATGACCTGTTGACTAGCCCGAGAAAGGCACGGTCGCTGGCCGGCGTGCAGACCATCAAGTCTGCTACCAGAGCAGCTGCAGGGTACGGACAAGCGGCTGCTTCTACCAGCAGCCAGGCGCCGGTTACCAGTGGCGATGGACCTCCTTCGCCGTCGAGGGCTGCAGAGGTCCAGCGAATGGACGTTGATGAGGAGACCGCAACGGATGAGGATGATGATCTTGACCTTGAAGTTACTACTGCTCCTGCACCGGTGAGACGGCAGCCCGGCAATCGATTTGGCAAAGTTTCTAGCAGCGTGTCTACAGACAAAACCAGATCAGCCGAAAAGCCAAACGCATCCTCCTCGAAACCTGAAAGACAACCATTTGCTCCTAGTCAGAGACCAGCGGCGAACGTGCGAAAGTCGAGAATGCAAATGTTATTTGACGACCTTGATGAGCTGCCAGCGCCATCTCGGTCAAGAGCCTCTGTATCTGATAGGAAAGGCGAACAGAAAAGTGAACATATTCCCTCAGATGAAGTGCCAGCGGGAAACAACGACTCCCAAGCCAAAAAAGCACGCTATAACGAAGTTCCAACATTCTTGGTGTGATTATCCAAAGCAAACTGAGGAAGCTCTAGCATTCTGGTTACCGTACGAACCAGACATGACTCCGACACGCTCAGCCGGACTCGAGGACATCCTATATTCCACGGCTGCCACTCTAACTCGGCCAAGACCAACGAGATGGCTTCATGCACTCTCGGACGCTGGCGGTGACAGCTTGATGCTCATCCTTCGGACGTGATGTTGAATTTTCTCCTTCGCTGAGAGCGGACACTCGACGGTCTCGACAGTGCCACTCTTCTCCGGCTCCTCTGGCGTCGGCTCGCGACTGACGCGAGACGTCAGGGTGCTGTGACAGATTGGTCAGACTCGGTCGCTCAATGAGTTTATGCGTGGGCGAGAAGACTGACTCGGCATCGGAAAAGCAGGCAGGCAATTCTTCCTTCCTGAAGTTGGTGGGAGGGCCCTGGGTGCGTTTCCATTAGCATGGATTCCTCGGATTGGGTCACTCGACTCTCAACTCACGATTTCAAGCACCCTCTGCTTGGGTGTGAATGGCGACTTGATGCACCGGACGATCTGACGAAAACACTCCATTCTTGACTCTTTATTTTCAGCTTCGTTCTGTGAATACAACACACAGGGGATTCTTCGACGATTATGAAGCGATGGAACGATGCTGCCGAGGTATCTGGGTATCTTGGAACAATGTAAAGCAACAAAGAAAAGCAATGCTCCGGAGTGAAACAAATGCTATAACGAGAGACAGGAGGGATCAAACGAGGGACTGGGGACGATAACGCCTAAAAAAGAAACGGAAAGGAAGGAAACACTGCAGATGCGCTATGACATTGAGGCGTCGGTGAGAGGAACCAAAGAAGATGTAGGCCGGGGTACATATATAGTAAGCGTACGTAGTAAGTTAGTTACATACGGTCTATCTGCAGTATGCAAATCCATGCTGATCCCGGCCTTGTCAGGGACTGGTGGATCCTCCGATCAACGGGATTGCCCATCCTGTGGCATGGAACGATGACAGGCTCGGCAAGATCACAGCAAGTCCTCGCCGCGGGTCTCCCTTTGCTGGGGACTAGTGTGTGACACATTCCAGTGTCTCGCTCGCTGCCCTGGCCACGCTTGTTCCCCTGGCAGCCCAAAGTTTCTCTTTCTTCCTTGTTTTTTTTTCATGTACAGCATCATCTGCAGAATCTCCGGAACAATATGCCGCCCATTGTTACAGGCAGCAAGTGGCGAGCAAGTCGTCATAGGCCTGCGTCCTGCAGGGAAGGAAAATGACGACTGCACTCAAAAGGACATCAGTGGAGAAAGAGTGGAGAGCTGATAACGACCTCCGTACCGAAGGGGCAAAAAGGAGAAACGCGAAACTTTCGGCCTCGCGTGCTGCTGAACGATCCCCATCGCGCATTCTTCGCTGTCCCTTCGGACGGCTCACTCGGCACTCGGCGCGATTTTAAGGTTTTGGTCTAGTCTTTCCCCAGTGCAGACTGAAAACACGCCCGCTCATGGATCGGGTATGCGCATGAACATACCGTGAGGGCCCGGCGCGGTGCCTTACCGGGACTGTTGCCTCCTGCTGTCAAAGTGGATGGCTGCTTGCAATTCATCTCAGGTGGCTTGCGTGCCCATTCTTCCTTCCTTTGTCTTGACCGGGTCTTGCCTGTTTCGTATCTCGGCTGGCGCATTGCTGTAATCTCGATGATGAACGCGCGGTCGATCCTCATCACCGGACCTGCACCCTGCGTGGATTGATCATGGATTCGTCACTGACAGGGGTGATCTTGGAAGGCTACTTTACAGTATGTAATACTCATTCTGGGATGACCTACTGTTTTTGGGAGGTCACGATGCTACACCAAACAGCAAGGCTTCCAAGGTTGCCACATATGTACTCGCGAGAAAGCAAATGTACTCAAATTCCTCAACACATGGCATGAACGCCCCCAGTCCAATCCTTAATTTCCAACCTAGACATCAGTCCAGTCCAGCCCAGCCCAGGATGCGGCTGAGCTCCATTCCCTCGCTTCTTTGTCCTTCCGTGGTGCAACCTAACTCTCAGGCACGACAAAACGCCACAGAAATATAACAGAAATTACGAGTCAACACGAAGCAAAAAAATGCCCTTGCGCCAGCCTCCCGGAGTGGGTTTTCGTTGGTTGTTATTTTGGTTGTTCATCCCTTGCATCGCAGTAATGCTCCGAGGACCTTGGCGCCTCGCACCCTGTTCAGCTGCAGGTACAGGCCTCTAGTACGCATTCCGGACAAAGCAGGTACATACATAAACGGAAGGTGGGCTTTTTGTGTGTGGGGATTATTATTCGGTTTCTCTTTCTCAAGAGATGCTATTATTGTATTTTCAGTAGGTAGTTGAATGGAGCCGTGCCCTAACTCAGCCCCAGGAATCTTAGTAGCTAACTCACAAAGGGAGATGATTTGTCAACTTAAAGCCATTGACAGCTCGATCCACCGTAGAAACAAGGTCATTAACAGGTTTTGAACATTGATTTTAGGCGACTCTCTTCCTGTCTGATCTCGGTACCTGTCACGATGCATCTATTCTCTCAAGGTACTTGTGAGTGGACGGCCGGCATGCGGTGGAGTCCTCGCAACGCAAGGCCTGGAATTGGCGCATATCGTGTATTAGTGAAGTAATGCCTCCGTAACAACAGGTGCTTGACTTGGCTTGCATTCCTGATTCTCATCGAAACTTCCACGGGCCGGCGGCCTTGGCGGGCTGCTAAGATCCATTCCTCTCGTTGGGTTAAAGATCGGCTTGGTTGACACTGTCTACATTTATGTTGTTTCCTAAGTTACTGGATGGTTCAGGAATAGAAGACAAGGTATATTCGTGTGTTTTTTTGTTGTTTAGCGCTGCTTTCTGGAAGAATTCAAGTTCCTCGGAGCTCAGAGACAGACCCGAATATGCGTGGTGGACAACCAGATATATACTCAGAAAGGATATCATGATTTCGATGATTTGATATACGTTGAGCCTAGATAGATACCTCACTTGGCCATACATAGAGTCAATATCTCAAACAAATCACACGCCCGCGATCTATTTCGGGTAGTCCTTGATATGGTGGCTCTTCAGCTTCACAAACTGTTCGAACCCAAATCGGCTGAGAGTCACGCCTCGGCCCGAGTTCTTCCAGCCGGTCCAAGCCAGGTCCTGTAGAATAAGATTGTTAAAAGAGTTCTAGTTGGCAGGATATCTAAAACTCACCGGAGCAGGATAGTCAGCGCGGTTGACAAACACAGTCCCGGCCTCGACCCTCTCCATCAGCTTCTCGGCTGTAGCAACATCCTTCGTCCAAAGACTAGCCGTCAGACCGAACTCGCTATCATTCATCAGCCGAATAGCCTCGTCATCGCCCGATACCTTCATGACAGGAATGACCGGGCCAAACGTCTCCTCCGTCATAACGAGCATGTCGTGATTCACACCCGTGAGCAGAGTGGGCTTGACATAGTTTCCATTGGGCGGGAAATTCTCAAAAGTCTCGTTAGCAGGCGTCTCATCCTTTGCGCCCTTCTTGACTGCATCTTCAATGTGCGCCAGGATCATCTCCCTTGCGCGCTTGGAGATAACAGGGCCGATCTGAGTCTTGGGATCAGAGGGCTCGCCGACGCGATACTTGCTTAGCACGTTCTTGACCTCCGCCACGAAGCCATCGTAGACCTTCTCGTGGACGTACACGCGCTCGAGTGCGCAGCAGCTCTGTCCGCTGTTGAAAATCGCGCCGTCGACAATCTCCTCCGCTGCCCAAGCCACATCCACATCGTCCCGCACGTACGCTGGGTCCTTGCCGCCCAGCTCAAGGCCCACGTTCACAATCCGGTCGGCGGCAGCTTTCTGCACTGCCAGACCACCGGCCACCGAGCCGGTGAAGCAGATATGGTTCACTAGCGGAGAGCGGACCAGTGTCTCAAGTAGGGTCAGGGATCCGCAGTGGAAGTACTGGATCACATCCTTGGGAAGACCGGCCTCGTAGAAGGCGGAGGCAGCCTGCTCAACGATGGTCGGGGTCTGGGGCGAAGGTTTCAGAATGACCGCATTGCCTGCCAGGATCGCAGGGATCAAGCTGTTGACCAGAATGAGGTAGGGGTACTAGAAACGAAGGCCAATCCGGCTTAGTTGGGGTCTTGAAGTGATAGACAGCCAAAAAAGAAAACAAACTCACGTTCCACGCGAAGATAATCAGCGCCACACCCACCGGCTGGCGTTTGATATACCGTCGAAACCCCTTTTCTTCCTCACCAGGGACAACGCCTTCCTCACCGAGCACCGACGTACTAATGCGGTTCAGGTAGTGGCTGCGCTTGATGGCCGTTGCGATCTCCACGCCGGTATATGCGATGGGCCGGCCCATCTGCTCAGTGACTTCGCGAGCGAGCTCATCCTTCTTCTTCTCTAGGATCGCCAATGCCCGCGACACGATCTGCTGTCTCTGTTCCAGGGTGGTGGACTGCGAGAACGATCGGAAGGCAGCCTGGGCGATCTCGGGGATGCGAGTCAGGTCATCAGACGAGATGCCCGTGCGAGTGAGGATCGGGGCATTTGTGGCGGGGGAGATGGTCGTGATGGTTTCGAGAGACATGATGTGATGGTGGTGTTGAACCAGGAAGTGTTGGAGAAGAAACACGGTGAGGGGCAACTACGCCGCCGCTCTTATCTGTTTATCGGATTTATCTTATCGCAACAATGACATCGTTTACTGGTTCGTTTCCTAATTAACCTCCCTTAGGGGGAAGAACTCTTTACAGATCCCGCACCAGCCGTGCGCCAGCCCAGGCATACAAGTAGTTGTGCTGATACCAATTGACAAACGTCGTCCGGCCTGCAATCCGCGGATAAGTGGCCCAAGACCCGCCAAGGACAACATGATGCTTTCCATCAAAGAAATCCGCTACAATAAAACAGTGAGCAAGCAGATGAGACCCTACGGATCGAGGGGTCACTTACAGGAATAACCCGGGTAGATCTCCATGGGCTTGAATCCCTCGTGCGCCATAAACGGCGAACTCGTCCATTCCCAGACGCCGCCCAGTTCACCCTGGCCGGCGAGTCGGTCGCCCTGTGCAGTGACTGGGGTCGGGTGCCAGTGGCGGAAACCAACGTTGCAACCGTTGAGGTCCAGGAATACGGGCAGATTGCCCTGAGATGGCGGCTTGTGACCGTTTGCCGACGACCCATTGACTCCGTTGCTGCCGAGACAATCAGTTATTCTCTCTCATCTGAAACAGGAGTGCGCTAGACAAACCTTGTGGGATGAGAGACTCTGCCATTAAGCTGGGCAGAGTGCTGATAGATACTCTTGACCTCATCGAGAGTAGGAATGCGACACTTGGTCCATTCGGCATAGCCAGCCAGCTCATCATAGGAAGCCATCAACGGCCAGTCCTCGGCAAGCTTTAGAGGGACGGGCCCGAACACGGTCCGAATGGCATATTTATCCAAGAATTCGTCCGTGGCTGAACCGTTGCCGTTCTGTAAGAGGCCGCCATTCTGAGAAATTTGGGTCCAGGAGGCTGGCCGTGTTTGAATCTGATTAGTCTGCAAGTACTTTGCGTATTCGCCGTTGGTGACCGGACGGGCTTGAGCCTCGAAAGAGTGCACCGTCACTGTCCTCTGAGGTTTTTCATTATCCCAACCGAAAGAGCTCCGGGGCAGTTCGTTCTCCTTCGAGTCGTCCAGGCCAATAGCCAGTTGCTGCTCAGGAATAGTGAACCACTCATTGGGTTTTGCGTTGGTCTTTGCTTGCTGGGCTAGGTGCGCGAAGTCTGGCCGTTCCAGGCCGACAGGAGGCAGCACTTTGTCGCTCTGGAGCAGCATGTATAGGAAGGTCTCCAGGTGCATCGCATCATGCTCGAGACTAATCCAGAGCGCTTCGGCAAGACTCCGGTTTGTGATGGGCCCATTATTAATCAGTGCCCGGACGCGGATGCGGACGCGCTCTTGGTAATCTAAGATCTCGTGTAGCGGCGGCCACTCGTCCGGCGCCTCGCTGTGGGAATGACATTGCTCGGGGTCATTCACGTCGGGGTCAATGCCACGTTCAAAAATCTGGCGGTACGAGCTGGGTTCCGTAGGCTTGTCTCCCAACGCTCGCGAGAGATGAATATCTACTGTGGTTAGTGTGGAGATGCGGGGATCATCAATAGTCAGGACAAACCACAAAAGGTTGGAAGATGGCCCAGATAGAAAATGAGCTCGTTGCGGAGCTTGATGGGCTTGGACCAGAGCTCCTCACGAGGGATCATGGTCTTGGTGACGATATCCCAGGTGGTCCAGAGAGTCTGGAAGTCCTCGACCTGCGGGACGGGGTGGGCGGCATATTGGGCCGGGTCGGTGGGAAGCGGACGGGCGGAGGGCGACAGGAGATGGAGATCTAGGAGGGACGAGGTGAGCATGGTGGGAGAGAGAGAGAGGAGAGAGAGGGAAAGGGAGGGAGGGGAGAGGGGGAGAGAGAGAGAGAGTGAGCGAGTGTATGTGATGGGAAATCTGGAGAGAAGAGAAGGTGACGTAAACACGCACGATAAGTGTCAGCGTCATTGCCAAACTCGGCCTGAGCAATCAGCGCCGCCTCGCGCCACAAAACATCCCGTTCCTGGCGATTATACTTGACGGACTCTTCGAAGTGCAGCTTCTCGCCTTTACTAATGGCCCGGCCATTGATCACTACGTCCACCTTGGGCGAGTAGTATGCGTGGTGTCGCCCGCCAGGCACGTCGTACGCAGTGACAATCTCCCACTCGTCGGCCTTGAACGCGTCAAACCCGAGAACGCGGTTCGCATGGACCAGTCCGTTCTCATAAAATGCATGAGTAATACCCTCGGAGTCATTGTACGCCTTGAATACCCGGTCCGGGTCCTGGCATGCGTCCAATCCGATGATCATCAAGTCCGAGGGACTCAACGATTTCGCAAAGCCGGCGAGAAACTCTGGGGCACTGGAGCGGCTGAAATTGCCGATGGAGGATCCAATGGACAAGACCACGGTCGGTCTCGTTCGATTCTCGGCGTTCTTCAGCCAGACGAGGCCATCGTCGTACGTGCCATGAAGACCATGCAGTCCCACATATGCGAATCCCTCGGGATTGATCTTGGAAAACGTCCGCTTCAGTTCATCCAGAGAGAGGTCCAACGCGTAGTAGTCCACCGACTTCTTCGTACGCTCGCACTCCCGGAGCAAGATCTCGATCTTGCGCAGATTTCTAGAGAAAAAGTGTTAGAAAGTCTGCGAGGGCATTGACGCTCTACGACGCATCATCCAGGCTGCGGATGCAGAGTGCAAGAACAACAGACCCACTACCAAGCTCCACCACCTGGGCATTCTCCGGAATCCGTTCAACGATCCGCTTCGCGTTGGCGGTTAACACCTCGATCTCCGTGTTGGTCAGGTAGTACTCGTCCAGGTACGTGATCTGCTCGAACAGCTTGAGTCCCTTGGCGTCGTACAGTAGCAGAGTGGGAAACGAGCGCGGCGTCCCCGCGGGAGGATCGATTTGCTTGTAAATCTCGTCCACGAGAGAGAAGTCCATGTCGCTCTGGTGGATATCGACGATCTCGACAGCATCACTGCCAATGCGAACGGCCGACGGTGACATCTTGATTGCTGGAAATGTGATGCGAGCAAGGGGAAAGAGAAGACCGACCAAACCAATTGTTAGGCAGCCAGGGAGGGGGGTTTATGTGGTGCAGAAAGACCGAGTAATTGTCGGACGGGTCTAGAAGAATGGCGCAATTAGGGGGGAAGGAGCCAGGGGGCCAGTGAAACCACAGTAGAGTCTACACGAGCGTTTGACGAGAGGGCTAGGAACCAAGGGCAATCAAGTTTATTATACCTGCGCGCCCACCCAAACTCTTCTCTCTCGCGATACCACCCCTTCGTCATCCTGTTTGCAACAGGATCCAGCCCCGCAAGTCTAGGGCTAGGCCGGCGCGGATTTACTTCGATCAGATTGGACTGCGCAAGGCTGGCCATCCCGTGCCATGCCGTCTGACGTCGCGCGGTTCCCACTCGTGCTGGCGTTCTACGCGGCCAGACGATGAAGATGTGGAGAGCCCCGGGCTGGATGGAGCCCCGGATGGCGGTCATAGCGCAGTTTGTCGTGTTTGTCGTGTTTGACGGGATGCGCGGTTTTGTTCCTTTCAGTTGCATTTCCTTGCCCCACAATCGAGCGATCCATGACGATCCGGTAGTGTGTTCGAGAGTGCGTCGATGATGAAACCTGACCCAGACATGGTATGGATGTGGATGGGGCATTGCTTTGAGCGCTGGCCCTCGGCTTGGAACCATGTCTTGCATCGGAGTCGTCGCTGCGGCGCCCAGAGGCATAAATAGCCCGTGGTCCGCCGCTGCATGGAGAATCAGATCACATCATGTTGTCGAAGCTCATCCGCCGCATGCGCGGAAGCAAGAAGGACTCCGATGTCGCCCAACTCCTGCCGATGATCGACCGCCTCTCCAATCAGAGAGCGACCCTTCAACAGGATCTCTCCGAAGCATCCGAGACGATCAGCTCGCTCAGGGCGCAACTTGCAGAGTACGATCTCCTGGTGACACATCTGCAATCCCGGACCCACATGTCTACTACCCCTCCGACGCCACATACGGATGACATCCAGACAAGTATCCAAGAAGGCCCAGACACCTGGATCGCTAACATCTGGCTCTCCTCCGACAACGAGTCAGGACCCCTCGCAAAAGCAGAACAACAATGGCAAGACGGATGCCCCGATTTCGCCATGGACATTGTCTCGCGCGCGATCTGCACCGATCCATTCCTCCCCCCAGTCGAAGAGATCCGCTGTCGCATCTTTGTAGCCGCAGTCCTACACTCGCTGGGACGTTACGAAGAATCCAACAAGCGCGTGGATGTTGCCCTTCAGATGCTCTCGCGCCATGACCTCTTTGACAGCTCACACACCCGGCACTTCACCGGCGTGGCGCATTACATCCGTGGACGGAACCTACTGACCCTGAAAGAATTCACCGAGGCTTACTGGTCGCTCGCCCGCGCGCTGTGCACGCCTGGGTACCACACCAAGTCTCGCCACTACCAGCGGAAAGCCATTGAAGATTTTACCCGCGAAGAGGCTGTGGATGGACACAGTGTCTCTTCGAAGGCATCCATTCGTCCCCTGCTTGGATCGGCTGACAGCAGAAGCTCACTCTGTCTAGTTTCCCCTGATCTCTCCTCGCAGACCTCGCCTGACCACACCATGGAGACAACCGTTTTCACTGTGCGAGAACCCGCATGCTCTCCGGCTCGATCGATCGATGAAACGGTTTTTGCTGATTTTTCTACAGTTGTGTCCGTATCTGATGTAGAGAAATAGTGGAGATTGACGACAAGTTCGCTTTTCTAACGTCTTTGCAGGAGAGTCATTGTTCGATCTTGATTCTAAGCCGCCCGTTTATTGTCCGTAACAGATAGTCTTGATCCTTTCTTTGCCAAGGTAGAATAGACAGACAATCCAATACCCTTTCATACATCAGGTTTCGTTCCCAACTGCCATAGAAACCCGCCCGAAAGATCGTGGTGGGATTCTCCATCTGACCGGTACAAACAAAGAAGACCGAAACAAAACGAAAAGAAAAAGAAAGACCATCGAACAATGAAATGACTATCCTGTTCTTTGTCTATCGAATGGATGGAGAAACCCATCAACCAGCGCGTGCTCTACGTGCTGAGATATAGGTGCCTTCCGAAAAGGGAAGTTTCTTCTTGAACCGATAAGGCAAACGTCACTCCTTGTTCATACCCAACTTTTCCCTTCTAGTCATATCTTCTCTCCGGCTCTTTCTCTCTCTCGATTGTCATACAATATCCCCATCACTTTCCATCGAACCAACCACTCAACTTGACTCGATGCGACGGGATATTTGCTCTACTTCCGAGCCAACATGGCAGGACAACGTCGATACCCTCGATCCAGACCCCGCCAATGGCCAGCCGTCAGAGACTGGGGCCGAGGGTCCGCAGTACGACGAAGACCCTTCGCTTTGGGACCCTGAACACTGGCAATCGACACCTGTCTCCATGCACGAAGACCGAGAATTCAAACAGAAGATTCACGAGGGATTTCAAAGCAAAGTGGAAGTCATGAACATGGTCCTGCCACCAAAGGCACCCATCATCCCTGACCCTGACCATCTTATCAAAAGAGTGCATGACCTCCGTATCTCGCTAGCTCTTTCCTCGATCTTCTACATTATCAAGGCAAAGGACTACGACACCGCCCTGATCGAAGCGCGAAGCACTCTCAAAAGGGCCCAGAAACTGGAGGGCGGCAGCGGGTCTGTAGCAAGATGTCACTACTATCTGGGCCGCATTCAGTTCTTGCGCAAGAGATACAGCCATGCGTACCAGGAATTTATGGCTACACAGACTTGTTGCCCTGCTGGTCTCGATATAGAAGAATCTCCTGAGGTGGAGTACTGGTTGAAGGAATGTCGTTCTGCAATAGCACGCGAGCAACGTGCTCGCCTCCAGTTACCAGCAGACGAAAAGGTAAATGGACAGGAGAGGAGAAAGGAAAAGGAACAACACACTCGCTGCAAGTCAGCTGCACCGGGAAAACGCAAATGGGATCCCGCTCCCTTCGACTTGGTTATTCGGTCTAAACCCCAGCTACAGACAGAGACCCGGCACCCACCAGTGAAAAAGGAAAAACGTCCAGCCAAACCAATCGTGTGGATGGTTCCTGACACCGAAGATCTTCCTCGCACTCGCGAGTCCAAAGCAAGCGTTGAAATCGCAAGCCCCTCTTCTGAAGGTCTGGACTGGACCCAGACTGGTGAACCTCGAATCAAGCAGAGTCGGTTTACTGTTCGATGTTACCCAGAGCCGCAGGTGCCGCGTCGACGATCAATGAGCCTGTTCAAGAGTCTTCCTGAGGAAACATCTACGGAGATGAACTGAGTGGTGGAGGAAAGTGTAAAGAGGTTGATCGACAACAGATTATGTGACAAGGAAAAGCTGGGAAGTGGGGTGTTTTCTTGTTTCCTATGTACAGTCTTGATTTATTATATTAATTCTCTGAAGCAGGAGTTATTGTTTTCCAATGATTCCGCTAGGTGGATGTTTATCACTTGCGTCCCATCTACTTTTGTTGCAGTTTCTAATTCAAGACTTGCCCTACGATCATGAAATGCAAAAATTCGCAACGAATAAGATATACATCCTTTATTTGCGCTGACCCCTACATGAGAGACACGGAATTGAGGGTTCCGCCGCCTTCTCGACTGGAGGGGCGACAACTTCCATGCCAGGTCGCCGCTTTCGGGCCCTCCAGTTTCAGGCCAAACTAGGAACTGATCGACACCGAACTAAGGGTGTAGCTCTTCGGTTGCCTGACATTCTTTTGCGTTGGTCGCACTCCCTTCAGTGATGGTGTTTTTAATTCATGTTGAATGCCACCTTCCGCTTTCAGCCAGTTCGAGGAGAGGAGCTTGATTTTCAGATAGTTTTCTAATCTAGCCGGAAGAGATAAAGTAATGGCACCTCCACTCAGTAGTACCTGGCGGACATTCAATTGCAGCGACAGTTCACCTACGTACGTCACGCTTCCCTCCCTCCTCTGACTCGTGTAGTTTCTTAGCTTATTCAAACCGCACGCCAAAGCAGTGCACAACAGTACTCAGCCAACATGGTCATAGGGATTGCAATGATGTCAGCGATGCTGCCCACTATGATTGGGCTAAACGAAGCAACCAAAGGGTCTCGGGACCGCGAAGAAAGCCACAAGGCGGATGCCCTAAACACCCGAACCCACTTGATAGCCACATGTGATGCCGATGAAGGTTCCCAGGTCCAACGGGAACAAGTCCACAATGCTAAGGTCTACCTAGGACAGGATGGTAAAGTATGGTGTCACGCAATGAAACAAATAGACGGAGAATGCTTGCTAATAATTCTAGATCTATATTACTAAACAACCAAATTCTACCCTATCCCCATTTAACGGGCACTTCTATCACCACCCTTCGTTCGGGGAAGATAACACGGTGGGACTTATTACAATCAGTGGGGAAGACAAGCCATTGGCAAGATGGGTGTTCCTTGATTCAGACACGAATGAAATGAGATGGGGAGGCCGGGAAGATAGTGATGGTCATGTCTGTGGGCCCTTTGTCCTCACCGTTGACGAACAGTATATCGCCCTTGAAGACAGTCAGATGTGGCTGGCTGTAAAGCTGCCGGAAGACTATCGAAAGGCCGAAGAGGCCGAAGGCTTAGGGGTCGTTGATCATGACGATAATACAGCGACTAGGTGGAGACTCTACTTTGACCGCAGTGACGGTGATAGCCCCTGCCTACCTGCTGGAGCTGAAGTCATGAAGATCTATCTGAAGCGAACTCCAGCGACTTCCTGACCATGAATATCAGAAATCAGAAATCATTTGCAGGTATACCGCAAACTAAGTTGCGATAGTTCTTTGGTTTGAACGAGACACCAAAATAAAAAAGCAAAATCTTGGAAAATAGACAACGTTGAACAGGGTAAACCTTACGTTGCATACACGGTATGTTGATGGCAGGTCTTCAATGGATGGTACAACAGTGGGTGTCGATGGTACGCTACCATCATTGGACCAAATAGACCCAGTTACGGGCCGTCGTTTGGAGCAGTCTTCCCGCTATGTCGTATAGACCCACAGCGTGTGTGGTTAGTATATTAAAACGGGTCGGATCTTGGGCAAGCGACCGCAACCATCCACTTGACAGGAATAAAATTCAGCTATCGTTCACATAGTGAACCAAAAGCCTTTTAGGGTTCACTGGGTTGGGGTTTACATTATCAATTGGACTCTAACTTACCTTACTAGTGTCTATTAGCTGTCAAAAGGTCGACGACATATCTAGTATTCATCTAAGGTCTGCCATTAGTTGTCTCAAAAAGTTTACTTCACTGATTTGTATGTGTTTCCAGTAAATGGCAGAGCACTGTACGATGTCGGAACAACGACTCAGTTTTATCTCACGTGCAGACCGCCAACATTGCCTTGAGCTGTCCATGTCAAAGCTAACTCCGTCGCCACTATATATTAACCAAGGGACTTTGGGTCGCTTGAGATTCAATGAAGCTAATTATTGCTGCGAACCAAGTCCAAAACAACGTGTCATGGACCAAGTCGCCCCTTGGATAGTTGAACCTCACGGTGACTCTGAAACTCTTATCTCCCCGAGGGCGCTCGAGGGCGCTCGCCAACGAAACTGAAAAAAAAAAAAAAAAAAAAAAAAAAAAGGCGCAACAATCGGTACCATTCTTGGAGAACTCGGACAGGGAAAAGACAACGAGGTGGATGAAGTTTTTCGTTTATGCTTTAGGCTTGATGCGAGTCGTAAGCTCGATCTCAAAGTGGAAATTCAAGGAAAATTCGTCGTCACACTGTTGTACGCTAGCTATTTCCCTTGCTACTGATGACTACCATGGCTAATACAAGAATAGGTTATAAGAGTCTTCCAATTCCTATCCAAGCTATAGATAGGGGCGGACGACAACAGTATTAGTTTTAGTTCACTGGACAACGGACAGAGAAATGGTGTGACAACTGTAATATAATATAAACAACACAACTTGTAGTCCTATTGCAAAATAACCTGTTATAATAGTACCTCTATATATTGCTTTTTTGGTTTCGGGGGTTTCAAGGTGTGAGGGTTGCTATCCCGGACCCACAGGTAGCCAATGCTCAATCCGAAGGAAGGGGGACTGAAAGCGGCCAGGGGGAAACTTAAAGGCGGCACTCCCCACATTCTCCAGCTCAGCGCGTCAATGCATTGATAAAATAGTTTTCGGTGTCTTATTTGACGATTTTCCTGTTCCTGTTCTCGCACTTTTTTATGCTGCATGTGTCAGGCTACGATCGACTATTTGCTAGCAAAGTTAAAATGGGCCCTGAAGTCCCCTAATCAACATTGAAGAGCCAGTCTTACTCCTACAGCACTGCTACCTGACCCGTTATTTCATGAAGTGAAATTGTCCGTTTCGGTCCAAAGCAGTCTGATATGAAAGGTATGTGCCCCTAATGCACTACAAGTCTATTTATGCTAAGGAATAGCACCAGCCGTGCTCCAACGAGTCAAATCGGCTTGTATTAGCATTGATGAACACGCGGCTTTCTCGATTGGGGAGGGTCTTCTCGTCCTGCTCAGAATACAAAAGGATAGTACTAAAAATGATGCGGATTCGATGGTTACGCGTATTCTAAATGCTAGGCTATGGCCCGGACTAAACAGCAACAATGTGAGCAACAGGTCGCTTATCAGTGAGATCTATTAAGTATTATCTAACGAATCATTCCTCAGGCTGCCAAGGAGACAAACATTCAGGACATAAAGGGGGAAGTGCTATGTGGTATGTCACTGCTATTAGGCCTCACTTATTATGCTTCTCACGCCAGGTAGTGCCACAATTTTTGCTCCGAGGCCGAGAAGGGGAAACCACGCCGGAAAAAGTTGATGAAGCTGCGCACCAACTATATGATTACTTCATCGAACAGCTACGCGAAGCGTGCCGGCCAGAACAGGTGAAAAATGGAGACCTGGAATCGAAGATGAATATTAAGCCGCTTGAGAATCAACCTATTTATTTTAACTACCAGAGTGAAGACGAAATGGTATATGCTTACCCTTACTTCGGTGCTATGTGCTGAATGTGCAGTGATGCTAACGATGTGAATTCTCTGTCAGGTTGAGATTAAAATAAAAACCCAGATAGGGAAGGAAAAAACCATACTTGAGGATGGGAAGTAGACCTTGCTGGTGGAGTCTGCGAAGGGGGTGAGAAAAAGCTATTGGGCCGCTATTGGACTCAAGTTATCCGCCTCGGTACTGGTGTGAGTAAGACTAGGTATTTATGGGATCAATAATCTCATCTATTGTTAGCGTGAATATCCTCTGGACTTAAATCATACGGTTTCCCGCAAACCGCTTGATAAACTATACAGCGGCCATGCCAACTCTCACATCATGGCCCCACATTTGAGATGATGAGGTCTACGCACACGATGTGATATTCAATTGGGCCAATGCGCAGCGGAAGGTACCTTATGAGAAACACGCCAATGCATGTTGTAGTGACTTGTAGGAACCTACACGAAGCTCTGCCACGATCTTCAGCATGAACCTCACCGCAAACAAAGGACGGGTGGTTTACTAACTATCCGCTACATTAATTCGACTATTCATAGCACAAGGATAAATATGACTAGCACTGGCCAATTTTAGGACCTCTTTGAGAAAGCCGTGAGGGTGGTAGGCAGACGGTTGATGACGGTGTCATAATATCACGGGGTTGGATCTGTAAAAGAACGCTATAACCGTAAACACCTCAACGATAAAGATTCCAAATTGAAGCCGCACTAATCAGTCGAATGACTCAGCTGGGTCGGAGTCGTATCATTTTCAGAATTGCACATACAACGGTTATAGAACCCGCAAACGGAAATGTTACATCCATCAACGGGACTAAACTGTCTCGACCCACGAGAGAAATATAGGGTATAATATGTAGCTAGGATGTTCACTATTCGGCATTTCAAGCCAACGGCATCACCGAAGAGGCGATGAGAAAGGTTACGCAAGAGAACTGATAGTATATACGATTATTCCTCACTATGCATATGGCTCCGATGCGGTAACGGAGTTGACGGAACTGGCAATCACAATATCGTCATTACTGTGGATCACGAAACATCGGATATATGTACGAGTCCTCAGGACAATTTGAATCTAGTAGAAGGCTGCAGCTTTGATGGTGTCCGAAGGTTATCCCCGCAAATATGGACAGTTGACGGAGAGGGGACAATGGACAATCTTCACTGCCTCTCGTTGCATCAACAGCGGTACTGCAGAAGGAAAAACCCCAGGGCACCTAAAAAAGCTCCAGGAAAAAGTTTGTGTTCGATGATACAGAGCTGCGACTAACGATTCTTAGCACCGATTCCGCACATCAACGACATTGAGGATCATATATTTGGCAATGCAATATTAACCAAACTTTCTATATTACACACACCGTTTCCGGGGCTTAGTGATATGGAAAGGAGAGTAAAGGAGACGGTCTCCCGAGCAACTGAGGCCTACGGCGGAATTATCCGCTAAAGCTGAAGTGACATTGGCTAGTTACATATTGACGCATCTACATGGACAGTCTATGAGTCTATGAATCATACGCTCCACGAGTGAAGTATATGAGTGCTATACCTAATAAAACTCTCCTGGAATTTATCCACCGTGGGTAACCATTTTTAACGCTCACCATTATCGAATTCGCCTGCTGTCTTCCGCTCCGAAAAAATTCTCTTAGGGGAAAGAAAATGGCCCCAGGAACTCAGCGTGATGAGTGCGTACCCGTTCCCGTCATCGCTCCTTCATACTTTTAGAACCACACTGCTTCCTATCTACGGGCTGGCATTACTAGCTGCAAGATTATACAAGCTGATATTTCCCTCTAGTCTGACTCAAAAAACGGCCGAGAAGCCAGCGGAAAAATCCGTCGGAAACTCCGGAGACCCGCCCGAAAAGGAACCAAAGGGGATGAAACCTGATCCTGATGACCCGCCACCAAAAGGACCATGGGGGGACCGTGGTGTCACTTCACCTAAAGCTGGAACAAAGAAGCCGCCCCAGAAGGATTCGAGTCTGAATGTCAGGATCAATTTGGACCTCAGGGCTGATGTCGCTCTGGAACTTCACGCCGTTATACAGGGTGATATTACGATTGGGCTATTTTAAATGGATCTCCAACTTTGGCGCATCTCGTCCTATATATACCTGAAATACCTCTTTCCAACCTTCCTGATGTTAGGGCACAGATCACGCAGCCTAGTCCGTGCGCTACCTTTTAAAACCGGAGAAAATAGGTATACATAGTGGCTCAAATGCTTCTAGAAAATGAGACATGAGAGTAAACCAGTTGTATATGTTCATCTTTTTTATCTTCTTACTGTGAGGACAGCAGTATCGCTCCTGTGGCTTGACAGCTAACGTAATTCACTACCGACTGGGTCCACCAACGCGAAGCGCGTCAAATATTTACACTCTTCCACTTCAACTATCCACCATGACACCAATTCACTCCCTGTTCAACAGCTATGTTTGCTTTTGCCGTTTCACCGTTTGGGTTGATGAAGAGACTTTGGAGCAGATAACTTTTGCATAGAGAGCTTGTGGCGATCCCATCCAGAAAAGACAAGATTTTAGTATGGCAGAGATCAATGGAGATGCCAAGGCCAATTAAAAGGTCTTATTATTATATTATAATATTAACGGCGGTAGATCAACAGATGGCAGCCATGCCGTGAAATGTGAACATAGAATTTTTCAGACAATCCTCAACAACCCTACTATAACCAAACTCTGGTATCCTCGCATGTTAAGAACGCTGCGCACAAATCCACCGAGGTTCTGCCCAGCTGTTTCCAATCGTGTCTTGCGTTTAGCGTCCAAGTTAGACCTTGTTCGTTGGAGATGGTGCAGACAGTATTTGGCCGGAATTTTGTGAGCTGGGCGCTCGTCGCGAAGACACGACCGTTCTGGGCGATTTCTGTGTGACCCCAAAGGTCTTCGATAGGACGCTTGATACCATCAGCGGGGATGGTGATATCGGCATTGGTACCAGGCTTGGCGTTGGCGAGCTGAACAGTCACGCTATTTGTGCAGGGGGCAGCGGAGACCGAGGTAGACAAGAAGAAAGAGACAAGGGCAGCGGAGATTGAGAGCCTCATTTTGAATCAGTGGTAGTCCAGGTGTTTGGTTTCACTTTTGATTGTATTGGTGTGGTGATTCACGTTCAAGGATAAGAGGAACGAGTTTCTTGTTTGGATAGTTTGTATTGTGAGAGCCAGTATGAAGGGCATTATACTCACTTATATACTTTTTTGCGGGTTGTTTTTGGCTCAATACACCCTACCAGAATAGGAAATGTTAGTTGAGTGGCCTCTGACTTACCATATTAGCCAAATCCCAGTAATTGGGTTGCCATGGGCACCAGGTGTTTAGATTATAGGATTAAGGTATTGGCATAGCTGTATGGTCCGCAATGCAGGTCGGTCGGCATGTCAAGCCACGACATATTTGGACAATGGAACCGAGAAATTGCTCTGCAACATTGACTTCAGAAGTATTAGTCAGGCTTGTATTGCATGAAGGTATTATACTGGCTTGTGTTTTCCAGTTGTTTGTTTGTCGTGTATCATTTCCCTTCGTTTCGCGCTGGGTTGGCATCATGCCGAATTTCGAATGATGCTTCCGCTTCAGCCACCTAAGCTCCTTCTATCGCATACCACATGAGCCGAGAGTGTGAATACTGAATAAATTAGATATTGTAATATGCAAGGAACGTTCCTCCTGACGCCTTTACCCAAAACAAGAATACATCTACCAATGGAATTACTGCCAAGGTATTCAGGCAGCAATCCACAATCCACATCAAAGCCCGTTCACTGGAGCATATAGTCACGCGGAGCCAGGATTTGCTCGGAGTACCCTCCTTATTAATAACTATTTCTCTATTAGGTACGCCTCACTTACAGAGCAGAGCACCCTCAAAGCATAATGTCAATAATCAATCTTGATGGAAATAATTGTAAGGGATTAAATCTATCACTGTAGTAATATTAGGAATGTCAACACAACAACATATTACCTGTCCATATCTAAGTCGGAGCCCTACGCATCTTATGTATTAAAATTATTTATAAGCTATTTTAGGATAATCGCGAAGAAAACTGAAAAATGTAAATCCAAGAATCGTACGAACGAGTGAGAAGTACACGAAGCGCGCGTGACTATGGGCGGTTAGGGAGGTGCCGGAGGTGGAAGAGGCCGAAAGGCACCGATTATGACCGGATGGTCACGGCAGTGTCAGTACAGGAAGGTACACATAGGCAAACGAAAGAAATATCTAAGGATCGCACCGAAAAATAAAATGAGAATATGAGCACTCTGCGTATTGATCGTCATTATCCACGACCTTAACAAGCCAATTATGTATGCTTCCTCTCAACTTAGCTGATTCTAGTTGCTTGGTATGGGATGACAATGCCTACGACAAGTCATCCTAGTGGGGTTTCTTGTCCTTGATATCATGGAGAGCAGTGCCGTATTAGGTTCGGACTACCAACTTGGATTGCACCTAACAGAGATCCTAAAGAAGTAATTTACGTGGTCCTTATTTCCTAGACAGCATGCGGAGATACCCTTGCACACAGTAGCGTGGCGGTAGCACTGCGATTGCCCGCCACCGGCGTCCCCGTTCAAAAGAGTATCAACGGCAGTGACCATATCGCCAAGTAGATCGTCGACAAGTCCTAAAGTGTCTCCGTTTCACTCCGGGATCATAACTTCCGGGGATGTAGATTTCCGAGAAACAAGCTTAGATCTGAGAGCCGCACAGCTTATGGATATCGATGGGCTCAGGTTTGACCAGAACCCCGGCAGCTGTGAAACGCATGATGTTGATGGAGGAGAATGTCCAAAGTAGGAATCAATAATAAGAGTGAGTGTGCCTATTTTGAAGCTGAGATGTGATGAATGATGAGACTTGAACCCGTTTCTAGTAGAATTCCTTCTATTTGCAAGCATTTTCCCAAAACGCCCTTGGTATTCTCCTTCACCCATTTGGATAACATTATGTGCAGGGAAGAGTAAGATTCTACGCCACATATTTTATCAACATGCCCGGAAGAAAGTATTTAGGCTTCATTGGAAAGACAGTCAGCCAGATAAGTGAGCGATGAGAATTAATTAGTAGCAAAGCCATGTTTGTGTATCTATTTAGCACAGTCTGCAAAATTCCCACATTGCGACAAAATTTTATAGGGCTTTTACATATTTGGTTGTGCTCCGATAGGTTTAGCGGAAAAAATAATAGAAGACTGGTCCTTCGTCCATTTCATTGTGAGAATGTCATTGCTTTAGCCCTTCATTCTATCGCAATGGGTGGTGATAACAGGGTTGTATTCCAGGGCTATTTAATCTAAAACCTACTTAGAGCTAAGCATTTATTGAATTTGCTTTTCTTATTGGTCGGAAATGGCAGCCGTCAACTTGGCAGTTCATGTGGCGTCGACATTCCACAGATCATCTCGGTTATAGAGCCGGTATTGTGGGAGCCAGTTACAAATTCAGTTATCCCCACATGGTGACTGCTCCAGCAAGGGAGCCCAAGGGATCATACGAGAGGCAATCACGCTAGGCTACAAGGAGCAAACAGGAAATAGAGGATGTTATCATCTTGTCCTAGCAACACAGTCACATAAGTTTCCATTTCGCCTTTCTCCTAAACGAAAAGGGAAACTCCCTTGATTCCAACACTTCGTTGTTTTCGTTCGAGTTGTTGGCGCTTGCCGCGATTGAATGGGAAAAAGCATGTGCACGTAATGCTAGAGCCATATTTGAATTCTAACCTATGGATATATTTTTAACAAGGGCTTGATGGGCCAAGAAGCTACTCGCACAAACCTAAGTAACTAGTTGGGCAACGCAAGAGACTTAACATGCCGTGGAGGAACAATGCAATTCGTACCACTGATGAAGAATAAATATTACTATCAGATGGCAATGGAAAAACTTCACACTTTCAAAACCCTGATGGTGCTTCAGAAGCAGAGACCGTACCTGACTAGGAGACTTAGTCATTACAAAAAGACGTGGAAGATTGAGGATTGAATAAGTTCTCACATTATTATGCAAAAGAAATAACCTTTATCTGAGGACATGGCACTTGAGACTTCGATTTGCGATACGGGTCAGGTAAATCTCCAGGCTCTCGATGGCGACAGGATTAGCACCAAGGCTAATCCAGCAGAAAGATGACAGAGGAAACTGGAACAGGAGCCATGTTTCCAGGGAACGGGTCAAATTGCACCGATTACAGTTAAATCATCCATAGAAATTATTTCTCATGAGAGCAACTACCTCTATATGCTCTGATAAGAAATATGTACTAGTAAATTAGCCTAGGCTCTTGGTTCTATTTTGAAGCAACAACCGAGCAAACCATAAAATATGAATACACACTTTAATAAAAATTTCACATTGAATGGTAATGAGAAAAAAGATTGATCGATATAGCCAGAAGGAGTCTAATTCATCCCGGAAAGGCGACGAGTTTTCAGCGCACGATTATTTGCTCCTACTTCGTAAATAAACGTCCACCTAAAGAAAAATCTTGGGGCAAATATTGACTATAAACAAACAACATAGACCTAATGGTGTGGACAACCTAACATTCCTGCCGGGAGAATTACGCTCCATATATATTATCAAGCCTACCTACCCCTTAGGCTGGACCAGCATTCTTAGAGTTGTAAACAAGCAACTTGGCTATTATATAGTAGCATTGACAGGGCGCTCGTTACAATAACACATTTTTTTATCTTCATGTTGAGTCTGACATCTTTCCTTATCATCTTTCCTCCAAATCTTAAGCACCAGCTGTGTGTCTACAGCTCGCGAGCATGATTGAACCTGTAAGACAAGAGATCCCACATGACCGGGAAATCTCGTGGATAAATGCACAAAATCCCCCCAATGATGGTCTCTACCATGCAAAGGCCAAGGCAGACCCGCTTGCCAATGGCCTCTACCAGCCAATGGAATACGCAGAACGGACTAGATTACTCCCCTTGCCAAACGAAAGTCCTACATTTACAACTACAAACATCAAAGAAGCTGTGGTGACAAATTCACCTCAAATTTCAACTTATTCCGACACCTATAGCCTTCTTCCACAAACCACAGACCAGCAAGTGACGGCGACTCTTGATACCATTCGAGAAACTCAAATCAACATGCCAACCCACCCAGTTTCTCCTCCCACTGCTATTCAGCAAACGGCTTTCCCAGACAGAACAGCCGTAATGTCACCCATATCAACTCAAACAACGAAATCAAATCATTCATCACTTTACGCTATGGCGAGTGTCATATTAGTTACCTTCTTCATGGCCATTTGCATCATCTTTTGGCTACACAAGCAGAAGAAAAGAAAACAAGAAATTCTTCTAAGATTTAGCCATGAGTCTAAATCTAAGTTCGATCATTCACCCACATATGTCGATCGGCTCAAAGATACCTTTTCAAACTTAAAGAGGAAAAGCTCTACATCCTTCGACACCGTCAGCAGTACGGTCAAGCGATACAAACGTGGTCCCATTGCACTCTCTTTCAACACTTTATCTGCTGCTAGTGCAAAAGGGGCTCGTGTTATGGGGCATTGCCATGTTGATCTTCACTTCGAACGTCTGAAAAGGCAAATATCACCTATCTTGCTTAGAGGCATGGCCTTCTATGATACCATTTCGGACAAGTTCAAGCGAAGGGATGATAATGAGAGCATTCATTCCTATTCATCAGAGTCTCAATATAGTGAAACGGGATCGACATCAACCTATAGCAGTTTTGGGCGGTGTCCCTCTCCGAGCGCCAGCAGCACACACTCTACACAGACCGTTTATTCCCCATACCGGGAAGTTCGATCACCTTCACCAGTTGTTTTGACAGCGGAACAACTTTCAATACATCGGATCAAGTTAAGAGACGTTTCTTCGGGGAGGGGCAAAAGAGCAGAAAGTTCGAGTGTGACGGATGTCACTTCATGCACGGTTAGCAGGGCTTCAACAAATTCGACCAGATCAGAGCAACAACAAGGTGGAATAAATGGTGCTCAGTCGAATTTGCCGGCCTTGAAAAGTGTCGAATTATTCAGGAGGAATGTTCACCG